TTGTAACTTCAACTGGACTTTAGTTAATTTTGAATAGAATTTTACTGTAACGAGCATAATTGCTATAGTTACATGAGTAAAATCAGAAATGCTCTTGAAGCATTCGTTCCAGGTGGATTTCTGCGAAATCCAGACGTTGATCTTTAGAGTCGAGTCGTGAGACCTAGCACGAAAGATTGCCAGAGTCGAAGACAACAATGACAATTCATGACAGTCAGGAGGGCCATGTGGAAAATCGCAGACGGTTTACGAGCGTGGAGGCGCCGGTCACCGTAAAACTGTAGGCTACTCGTTCAAAAAGTGTCTTCGACGCAATTGAAATTCACGTGAAAGAAAAATCTGAAGAAAAAAGAAATTCTCTTTATCGCCATCCATGTCAATTTACATCCATCTACAATTGTAAACGAGAGTAGAAAAACAAAAAAGGGGGGGAGGGATGGAACACAGCTTCCTGGACGAGTAAATTTAAAAGTCAGTTTCCGTTTAATAACACCGTGGAAAGTACACTTCGCGCAGAGTCGACAGACACGAAATCACCAGGGCTGACAGCACCTATTAGCCGCGGTGACATTTCTGTCACGCCCATGCGAGAAGTCGTAATTCGTAACTGGTAACATAACACGTGTAACGCGGCGTGACACGAGAACTCCCTGTATGTGTCTCTCCCGTTTCGATTAATTTAGCACGGAGGTTCACCGGGAGGCGGCAATTACACACTCGTTAAACGTCCATCTTTTTTTTTTTTTCTCTCAACAGTAAAACATCGAGGTAAAATTCGTTCAAGTCCATTAACACTATGTCATAATATACATGTTTCGTTGTGAAGAAGAATTTTACGACGATATACAATCTTATAACTCCCCCTCGTATTATAATACACGCTCGATGTTGATCGTGTGTATATGTATGTATACTATGGGCAAGAACGTGAGTTATCGTTTTGCGTAGTAGCGGTTCATTCTATTGATTTCATTTATGAATGAAACGATTCCGTGAATGCAATAGCGTACTACGTTCGATTGCGGTAAACAAATGGAGAACGAAAATACACGGTTTTTTTGTATCAGTTACCGGTAGTCGCGTGCTGGTAAGTGAGGTCTCAAATCGCTTATCGCGTAAACATTTACAAGTGGGGTAAACAAGATGTTCTTTAATCTAAGTACATCGAATGTGGCTACCTCAAACACTAGACGTCCGTTTATTAAACCTCTCCGCGGAACCGACCTCGGTCTGCCGTTCCGTGATCTCGAGGAACGCCGTGAAACACCGACATAATGAACCGACAAATTTGTTAAATACAGGCCGTTTCAAAAAGAATGTTAACGCTTAATACGAAAGTAACTTTTAGAGAAACAGAATTGATAACACAGAGTATCACATTAACAAATGTATTCTATCTTTGAAGTGTCTTGTTACACTTGCACAGATTTTTCATATACTTGTTAACATCATTTTGAAACACTCTATACATGTTTAAGAACTACCAAAAATTCTTGGTTCGTTTGTTTTTTCATAATTTCCCCTATGCGTGTACAAATTCTTACAAAGTGTTGAAATTTTTCGAAACACCCTGCAATGTAACACCTTCGTTTAACACCTTGCCTCGCAATAATCTAATCACGGTTCTGAATTGAACTAAAAAATGACATCCTACGTTAACTTATTCATTCCTAAATCAGAAACGCGCTCGAAATAGGTAAACGGAGAATTCTGCTAATATCACCAATGAATCTTCTGCACAATCAGCGCAATATTTGCTATCTTGATCAACAGATCGTTCCCATTCGCGCACTCCCGTTCTAAGTACAATCTATTCCTTCACTCCACCTCGATACACCGTGGGCATCGACAAGGGATAAACGTGCCACCCACGCACCCTTCCTCCCCACAGCCCTCCTCTTCTCTCGTTCAGCCAGTAAAGTGTAAACCAGATCAATCTGCAGACGCCTGGGTAGGCCCCGGTTTTCCTCTTTCTCCTTTTCTTCCACCCCGGTCTCGGGATGTATTTCTGGAGCGATCTCTCTACTCTCCGTGACTATGGCATCGTTGTTGGCACGACCGACGCCGATATTCGCTCAGGGAACCGCTTCTCTGCTCTTCTTTTACTGCCATCGTTTTCGAACGTGTGCTAGAAAAAAAAGAAAGGAAAGAGATAGAGAGGGGGGAAAAATTTGCCTGTACGAGAAAGAGAGGATAGATCGGTCGACGAGTCGGGAAACTTTCGATTCCGTCGTTCGTTGACGTGGAGAGATCGAGGGGGAGTAGAAGGGAGATTTTGACTGACGGCACTGCCATTGAGACCACACACGACGCCGTTTTAAGATCCTCGTTACACTTGCCTTCGACCTGGAATTAAAACCGTACTTCAATTATTGCCATCGATCCGCGATTTAAATCGTTACTTGATCAATGATTTCGCTCTATTTTACCTGCGCTTCGAAATTCTTTCTACGCGTATTTTCGTATGCATAATTCTTCTGTAGACTCTTTGGGAAATAATATTTTCTCTGTTTTCCTTCAATTTTTTTTATGTCTTTCTCTTTGGTTTTTTCTTGTTTTCTGGTGGAATTGTCTGTTTTTGCGAAGATGCGTGGATCTCGGCTACAGACTGTAAAGAGAAAAACGAACGAGTATGAGAGGGAAAATGAAGAGACAAAGACGGTAGTCGAGACACGAGTGCGTACTTGAGGAAGAACTACTCGAGAGCTGCCGGAGCCACAGATTTATCGTATATACCTATACAAGAACTGATTCCGTATCGCGAGGTCTTTCACTTTTTCCTTTTCTTTTCGCTTCGTGTGTGGTCCCCACATTAGTGATTCTTATTTAAACTAAATGCATTTCGATGCTGAATTTGAAGAATTTGGGAAATTGGGTGAAACCATTCTATCACGCTCACAATCGCTCCAAGTTTCAAGCTTCACTTTCATCTTCATCTTCTCTCATTTATCCTGTAACAAATACATCGAATAAGTGAATGAAATAAATAAAAACACCATCTTTCTTTTTACCTCTGTTTCAGGTATAAAGATGCAATGTTCGAACTCGAATTCGAACAGTTCTGGAGGTGGACTGATCGACCGCAAGCCATCCTACTTCGGTCATCCAGCCGGCTCTGTTACCTTGAGCTCCTTAAGCTCCCTAAGCTCGCTCAACTTGAGCAACATCGGCGGCTTGAGTATATCGAACATACCTGGCACAGTTTCCTCCAACATTCATCACACGACGACTGCACCACCGACGACGATGTATTACGATCAGATCAAGTACAGTATGTGAAACGTGTGTACCGCCTGAGAAACGAAGAGAACAAAAAACTATACTATTGCAACGCAAAGTGTTTGACGGAACATTGAAACGGTGCTGTAAGGAACACCTTGTTAAACATCTACCGTATCGAATATTCTCTATCACGAATGGATGGAACTGTGTACGAGTGCGGATGTATAAGTTTGTTAAAGAGAATAAGAAGTTTCTTTCTTTCAGATCGTCGCTTCGATAATAGCGATCTCTCCCCTTTGTATTTATAGCTACGATTATGTAAATGTTATTAATTTAAGTCGTTCGCCGCAAGACAGAGATGAATGTAGAATTAAAATATTCTTTGCTAAAAAAAACAAGAAATACGAATGTTTTCTCTTGTTCTTTTTCTTTCTTTTTTTTTTCTTTTCTTTTTGCTGCTTCAATACGCGTTCACGCTTTTCATCTTTCGCTTAAGATTCATCGACACATTGCTAATCGATCAAACTTAGAATCGGTGATATTTCATTTTCGCTTGTTCTTTTAAGAAATGTTTCACAAATGTTTCGAAAATTCGTGCCGTGTTAACACGTTCTCTGCCACGAGAAAATCGTAAGGGATGGTGACCGATCGATACACTGTCGACGATGGCACACGGCGCAACTAATTCTGTGTCGACGATGCTTTGACAGGTGGCAACGAACGTGTGTTGAACAAAACCTTATTCAACTTATAACAAGTTACCTAAAGTTTCGCGTTATACGAGGATAATCTGTACCATTTAGAAAATCGTTTAAATGTCCTATACACCTATTCTCGAGCGTAATTCATTCGGTCAGCAGTGAGTTAAGTGTTTCGGGTTAAGACAATTTATAACCTCCGATGATGTATCAGATCGAGTGAAATATTAATAACGTCACACGATGGTTTTGCGGTGACGATAAAGGATTTGTTGATAGCAGCAAGATCTCTTTCCTAGTCCCTACTTCTCGTTCACGAACCAATTCCGGGAACTGTTTTCGCTCATCAGACTGTTTGGAGCTTACGTCGTCGTATCGCCTGTAACGAGATTACGCTTTCTGCCAACCCGCGTAACAAATTATTATCGTCTTTCTTTCTTTCTTTGATCATTCCTTGCTCGAAGTGAAATACATTGTATAATTTCCATGGTATTTTACTAAACGAAGAAAACTTCACGAAGAAGAGCAAGTTTTACGATGTTAAATATCTTACTCTGTCCTTTTTATTCCTTTTCTCTGACGAAAGTAATAAAAAAAAGGAAATAAAAAGAGACCGAAGACTCCGCTGCTCCTGTCGGAGGATCTCAGAGAGGAGCCAGTGGCTCTCGATCCTTTGCAGGAGGGTTATAAAAAAAGGAAAAATAAAAAAATAATACGGTCGTGAAAACGATAGTGGCAAACGCGCGACAGATCTCTCTATTGGAACAGCTTGTTGCCGGTCCCAGCCATAAAAATGACGGGAATGCCTGATGCTCGGCCTGGGATGCACTTATTTGAGTAATATGGAAGTTCCCTGGGACGTTCTCTTGCTCGTCACGTGTTCAAATAGTAAAACCGTGTTCCCTTTTGTTTCTTTGTGTTCCTATAAATCACGTGTTGCACCTTTTCGGCTGAAACGCTGGCCCCGCTGATTATCGATGGAAATGTCACGTCCGAAAATAGTGCGGCGACACACGATCCAGATCTCATTATCGCGGTCAAGGAAGAGGAACAAAGAACGTGCCTGGGAAATTTTGCGGATGAATCAGGACGGTGAATTTCCGAGTACAGTGATCTTCCTTTCCTCTCTTCCTTTTTCGTTTCATTCCTCAGACCCTGTATTTATATGCAAGTATACATTAGTAAATACGCTTACAATGTGTTCATTGTACGATGAAAAATGTATTGTGCGGTAATATACTTGAATATAATTGCAGTTACAGTTTCATTGCACCGTAATCGGTCACAGATAGATAGATAGTTCTTTGTCCCGTCGATTTAGTCTTCGCTATCTATCGGTGATTTCCTTGAATCGGCTTAGAGAATTACAAGAGGCACGGCAGATTGCTTATGTAATAAATTAGAGAACGTTATGCGTGATGGCGGATCGCATGTGGTGTCGGCTTACACGAAACAGATTCATAACGGACATTAATATCACATTAAAATTTTTCGCCAAGCCGACGAGGAGGGCCGGATCTACTCGTCATACGGACAGAGATGACTTGACTTCCTTTTGTTGTGCACTCGTACGTCCGATATTACGACGAAAGTTTCATCTCGTTCCTCGTAACAGAAAGAAAGAAAAAACATTCAACTCTTTTCTACATTTCTTCTATGATACTTGAATTAATTATACATTAATCTTTTCGTGATTAAATTGTTTTTTTAATTTATTACTTATTAACGTTTAACGTTTTTTGTCAAAGTTTTTCATGCAATACGATTGTTGCTTCGTTTCATTGGGGCGAATTTTCTAGCTGATTTTTTTTTTTCGTTAACAATGTAAACGATCCGGATACTAAATTGGTACGAAAAAAGCCACTTCTGAACCGCGTCGTCCAGAATGCACGTAAGCCAGACGACGAATATGCACGAGGTGCAAGAGGAGTCACTCAATGACGCCGTTGACAGGGCATCTCTGGCTGTGGTTTCATGGTGTTCTTGTTTCTGCGATACTTTCTTCCCCAGGAAGAGAAAATTGTCTTTCTATTTTCTGCTATGGTCCCTTGGCTAATAAATCAAATCGAATGTTACTCGGTAGAATTTTTGGCGACAATTAAAATTATATCCTTGCTTGCGACAACAAGTATCCATCCCATCGTAGAGAATTTTTTAACATGAAGCTAACCTTGAATTAATGAGCAGCCACTTATAGCAATTACGAGGATCCACTTCTAGCAGTACGTAAGTTCAAGATGAGTGTTGGTTCTTGAGCTGCAAGAGACATAATTTAGAATTTCTTAATCTCTCTAGATAAGTGTATTTTGTTTTTTTTTTTTTCAAAATTCTCCAAAATGGAAGGCAATTTTATTCAATTCGAACAGCAAGCGGAACAGGTGAAGGATAATAACATTTTTCCATGAACTGGATTTTTAAAGTAGCGATCCAAAGAATTCGGGAGACTGCATTATCTCAAGGCGCCTCCGTATCGAAGCGTTCACGAAAAGAGAGGAAGCGACAGAGAGGGCACGAATCGAAAGAAGGATGAACGTGGAATGGAGAAAGAGAGAACGATACGCGAGGAAGGGGTTCGCTCTAAAATAATAAACTGCTCGACGCGATGCGAGACTAGACATAGTCGGAACAAACGCCTCGCGATTTACACTGCACAGACCTGAAAACAAAAAGTTCCGATTTAAATTGTCGCTATTAAAGTGAACTGCATATTTTATGGTATATAACGTTACTTCTGAGTAGAAGCGTAAATATTGAATACTCCTGATATGATTTATCTTGTTAGATTAACTCTGCTTGTCAATTTCAATTTCACATGAATTATTTGCTAATTTAAAGCGCAGCTTTTCTTGAGAGTATCTGCAAGTATCGTGTCCTAGTTGTACATTTTGCAAAAAACATTTAATACACTTTCAAATTTCTAGAACAAGAAATTCTTACTCGATCGGTAAAAAGTGGTGCCCGGGGTGCCCTCTATAGGACACGTAACTTGTACACTCAGGATAGAAATTTTCTCTGATTGGGAAAATGGTACTTATGTTTAGAAGGAAATGATTACTTTAAGTTGTCGAAACAATTATTTATAAAAATTAATCTAGTTTATCTGTTAAAAGATATCGATTTTTATATACCTCAGAATAATTTGTTGGAAACGATAACATAGAAAAAAATTTTGAAGACCGTTTGTACATTAAAATATTGCGCATGCGGATAAATGTGGGATACGGACGTCACCAACAGGTCAGAAAAGCGGTAGTAGACAGCCGGCTACTTTGTTCGGGATTACTGTCGAATACATATTTTATTTACTAATATTACATTAACAATGGAGGAAATACTACTGAAGTTACTCATAGCCGATAACACATCGATACAACAGGTATATTTACAGAAATGACACTTTATGACAACCGCAAATTTTCTGCTCTTCAAAACACGTGTTTGCTGCCTTTAATAACCACTTTAAGCGAGATCGAACTCATTTTATTTTATCCACATTATAGGTTCCAGCAGAAGATACTATTTCCTTCTTATACATTACCTTAGTAAAGTTAATCTGATGCTTCATTTCGTGAACTTCTTTCTTTCTTTTTATATTTAATGTTTTAATATGCATGTCATATAATCTGTGAGATTCTCTATTAAATAAAGATGCCTATACATCCTATTTAATGGTATTAGCGTTCAAGGCCTTTTATGAAGAGATTTATGTTTCATAATATTTAATATAACATTAATACTATATTTACAGGGAACAGCAGAACTTAGAGAGGCTTTTAAAAAACCAGAAAGTACACCAGCATTATGTCAACTTATAGTATCATCAACAAATTCCCAGGTTTTTATTTTTATTGCATTAATGTTATATTTGTACTATAAATCTTTTATACCAAAGAGTCATGTATATCTAGATAAGGCAATATGCAGCTGTATTACTTAGAAAGCGTTATGGCAAAGGAAAACATTGGCAGAAATTGCAACAACCTGTACGCAATGAATTTAAGGCAGTAATTTTACAGGTAGAAGAACATTCTTTTGAAAATTATATTTTTGCACATAAGATTATGTACATAATATTTTATTGCTTTTTAGGCACTAGTAAATGAACCAGAAAAGTTTGTAAAAAATGCAATTGCACAATTAATAGGTGTAATTGTAAAACATGAATTGCCTTATAATGGATGGCCAGAAGTTTTACAGTTTGTACAACAATTAATTACTAGTGAAAATTTAATGGATAAAGAGGTATGAAATAAATTAAACTGTTCTTAGCTTCTATGGTATTTGTTAAAAAAAATAATTTTGTTATAGTTGGGAACTTATACTTTGTCAATTATGACTGAAGTTGCACCTCATGCATACCTTTCACATGCTGGATCACTTGCAATTCTTCTTGGACAGACTTTGAACAGTTTACAAGATTTAGGAAACCCAGTAGCATATTATGTTTTACGAATAATGCAAAACCTTGTTCCTTTAGTTGATGGTAATCAGATGGTAAGTCAAAAAAAGAAAAAATTATCAAAAATAGATTAAAGTCAAGATTTATCATATTTAATTATAAATAATAAATTATATCTTTCATAGATGGTAAATGCTTATCACCAAATGATGCCTCAAGTGATGGCCACAATTCAGTCTCTTACTACTACTAATGAGAACAAAGCTATTGAATGCTTTGAACTGTTAGATGAATTATGTGAAAACGCAACTGCTGTGATAGCACCCCATGTCAAACCTCTTGTCAGTATGTGCCTTGCTATTGCTGGTAATAAATCACTAGATGATGCTCTTAGAGTTAAAGCATTTGGTTTCATTGGCTGGTTAGCCAGAACAAAAAAGAAAGCCATAATCAAACATAAACTTGTTGAACCCATTATAGGTAAGATATATCAGTATTGTAAACAATTTTTTGTACTTTTATAAATATATAATCCTTTCGTATAATTTTACAGATATGTTGTTTAATCTTATGTCCACACGACCTGAGGACGATAATGATGAAGTTTACTTTAGCGGTGATAATGAAGATAATACACCTGTAACTTGTGCTACTCAAACTTTAGATTTACTTGCACTTCATTTACCTCCAGAGAAATTAATTCCTCGATTGGTACGATTTCAAATGTTTATAGCATAACTTTTTGTGAGATATAAAGCTAATATTTTATTTTTATACTATATTTATAGTTACAATATATAGAACCGAGCCTTCAAGGTACAGACATATATGCGAAAAAAGCGTCATTCCTAGCAATGGCAGTATTAGCAGAGGGTTGTTCGGAATATATCCGTGCTAAATATCTCGAATCCTTCTTACGTTGTACTTGTCAAGGGATCACTGATTCTATTCCTGTTGTACGCAATGCTGCTCTTTTTGCACTCGGACAATTTTCCGAACATTTACAACCAGACATTTCCCATTATTCTTCCGAATTATTACCAGTGTTATTTGAATACCTTGGACAAATATGTGCACATATTAAGCAGGAAAAGAAAGAACCACCTTCGGTTGACCGTATGTTTTATGCATTGGAAATGTTCTGTGAAAATTTGAACGAAAGTCTTTTGCCATATTTGCCAACTTTAATGGAAAGACTTTTCGAAATTTTAAATGCGGATACTCCAGTTCATGTTAGAGAACTTTCTCTGAGTGCTTTAGGTTCAACTGCTATGGCCAGCAAAGAGCACATGTTGCCATACTTTGAAAGAGTGGTCTCTATTCTGAATGGTTATCTTTCAGAAAAACAAACAGAAGAAACCATGTGTCTCCAAGTGCAAGCAGTTGGTTCGTATGCTGACAAAAATGAAAATTCTCGTAATGATCATTAATCATATTAATAATTCTTTGGTATTGTAGATACTCTTGGGGTATTTGCAAGAACAATAGGTGAAAAAAATTTTGCACCTTTGGCTGGTAGGTCTCTTGAGTTTGGAATGAAATTGCTAAAAGAAACAGAGGATCCAGATTTGAAAAAGTCAGTTTACGGACTGTTTGCATCAATAAGTACTGTAATGAAAAAAGAAATGGCAGCTGTTTTGCCAGAAATCATCGACAATATGATATCTAGTATACAGAGTTCAGAAGGCATAGTGGTATGTAAACTATGAAAGGAATATAAATAAGGATTACCCAATTACATTTATAGTTGTGCTTTTGTCTTTTGATAGCCCCACTTTAAGGAGAATGAATCTTCTGCTTTTCCCGTTTATGAAGATCTTAGTGACAATGAAAATGAAAATGAAGAGGAAGATATTGAAAACACAGATAACGAAGATGATGACGATGATGACGATGTAGCAGGTTATAGTGTTGAAAATGCATACATTGAAGAGAAAGAAGAAGCAATTCTAGCTTTAAAAGAAATTGCAGAGCATACAGAGTACGATATTTAATATTTGCTTATTTAATTGCGTGCTGTTTTCGTTATTTTATATATTTATTTCATATTTGTTATTTTAGAGAAGCATTCCTACCATACCTTGAAAAATCCTTTGAGGAAACTTTCAAATTAATGAATTATCCACAAGAGGATATTCGCAAAGCTGCTATTGACGCTCTTTTACAATTCTGCATTAACTTCTCAAAAATTAATACTAATGAAGGAAAGCAAGCTTTGCTAAAAGCACTTTCCGTATTTATACCAAAATTGTCAGAATTGATAAGATTAGGTGATGAACGATCAGTAGCTATTAGTGGTTTAGATGCTTATACAGAACTTCTGAAAGAAATAAGGACAGATGTTCTTATTGGAGAAGGTCATAAGGAGGCTATAATGAATTGTATCACTGATGTCATGTCAGGTAACAGTTTAATGTAAATTATATCTTTATCACTTTGACAATTATCATTTATACAGAAAGTTGTTTATATAATAGGCAAAACTGAATGCCAAGATCAAGAAGAAACAGAAGACTTAGATACTGAAGCTGAACAAGATGAATTGTTAATTGAATGTGCGGTTGATGTATTATCTAATTTCGGAAAAATAATTCCGCCGGAAGACTTTGCACTTTATTTCCAAACAATACTGCCAATGCTTTTAGAAAGATTGGTAAAGTTCTGTTTATTTGGTAGTTACGTACTTATTAATGTTATTTATTGCATTTAGGCCTAAGAATTAAATGTTTTCAGAAAAAGAACAAATCTGAAGGTCAAAGATCTTTCGCTGTTGGTACAATTTCAGAATGTTTCGCAGGACTTAAACATACGGTAGCTGCATTTGTACCTCAGCTTCTTCCTACACTTTTGAGACTTACGGATGATGAAAGTGCCGAAGTTCGTAATAATGTAATATATGGAATTGGTGAACTTGCATTACACGGCAAAGAAGCAGTTTATTCGTAACCTTTTAATCTATTACTTCAATGTTTTGATAAAATCATGTATTTTTCCTTTTTTTTTTTCCTTAACCACGATCTCAAAGACATTATCCTGATATTTTACAAGTTTTATCAGGTGCGATCGCTAAGGAATCTCACGCAGGAGCTCGCGATAACGTAGTCGGAGCAATTGCACGACTTATAATTGCCAATTATTCCAATTTACCTCTTGATCAAATATTCCCAGTTTTCGTTAAAGAGTTGCCATTAGAAGAAGACTTTGAAGAAAACAAAGCAGTCTTTAAAAGTGTATTAACATTGTATGAAGCTGGTCATCCCATTTTAAGACCGCATATGGAAATATTACTCAAAGTTGCAGTCAGTGTATTACACGAGGGTAGAGCTACTGATGACGGTATATTACACAATATTTTCTTCATATTTAATATAACTGATATGAAATTACTACATTATATGTTGAATTATATGTTTATGTTATGTTACATAGAAGCGAAGAGTATCGTTATGGAATTCATAAAATCTGCTCAGCGAGATTTTCCAAATGAGTGGAATTCCATGTATACTGAACTTCCTGCAGAAGTTACGACAAACATACAACGTATATTTTCTTAGGTCTCGATATGGACTTGAAAATAACTCTACCTTTGATTGTTTTACAAAGGATACGCAGACTGATAGATGAAGACATTTTCATCATAAAGAAAGTGATATATGAGATATATTTCATGTTTTTAAGTTATATCTAACAAATTGAGGTTTTCAGTACTGGTTACTCTAATTTACAATTTTATATATATTTATATATGTCCATTATTCGGAAGTTGTTGTGAATATGGAAATTACATTTTTTTTTGTACTCATACAGTATCAACCTGTCAATAAGTGCAATTATTCAAACCAATAGTGTAACAGGATACCATATTCCGTTTAAGTCTCCTTGGTACTCATGTTTCACAATATTATAACAGTGGAAAAATACAATTTGTGTGGAGATATATACATATATATTGGTTGGACAATTTATGTTAAATTCTAGTCTATCAAATTTTCCAATTGTTTTTTCTTTTTTTTTTTTATAAATTCATTCTAATTTATTGGAAATCAAGAACCGGTAGTTTTAAAATCTAATATGTGAATTTGTTAAAAGTGTAAGCATAAATGTTATACTGAGAAACGAAAGCTTTGGTTATTAAGGTTCATGTTTATTTGTAACCAAGAACGTTGCATATAGCATGAAGCAAATCATGTATACATTGAACATAAATGTATTATTTGAAGAATAAAATTGTTGCACTATATCCTTTTTACAAATAGCTTTTCAATTTTTTTTGACTGGGAAACTGCATTGCCACGAAAATCTACACCCACATACTTATATTTATTCATAACTTTGTCAAAGTCAATATTTATTCCAAAATTATCAGTATACTCAATATTGTCATTCTGAATCATTGTCAAAGGACAAAAATAACGTTAGCCAGAATTTGGGTAGTTTATCAATTCTATAAATAAGCTATATGATTAAGAAAATTTATTGCATTGCTTATTTGTGTAAGCAGATTACACTTTATGCGCCTGTACTACAAACAGTTTGAAATATTTTATTATTGTGGGTAATCTTGTTTGTTTATGATAATTTAATTAAATTAAATATGGTCAGGGTGACGAGAGAAATTTTGCAATAGCGGTTTTGAAATTTGAAATACTGTCAGAATTTTCACAGCCTTGGAATACCGAAGTTTATATAATACTATCGATACTTTATCTAAAAGCTCGAGATAACTCAGTGGCCTGTCGTGTTTTTAGGAAATTATCGAACATTCGTCTTCTTAACCCGGTGTATTCGATTTCCGCCCATGAAAAATGTAAAGTAGAATTGTGATATATTTAAAGAAAGAGCTATTAATACAGTGTTCAAAGTAGGAAACATTTAGAAAACGGCTAGTAGAGATCATCGTTACCGACAAAATTCACAGGTGTACTTACACATGTGCTACAAAATTAAAATATTCAATGATGACGTCAATCTACTTCGGAAACAGTGTGCTGAAGAAAATACAGCACGCATCTGCAGCTGCACTTTCAACAATGAGGAATACTATTTCGATATCAACATTCAATGGCATAAATATGATCACATGGACAGACTACATAATTTCACGATTATACAGAAATTACACATATAAAAAAGCGTGGTAATATGAAATAATGTTAACGTACAATGTCGTACATATATACTCGTTTAAAGAAAAAGTTCCTCATTACCGACTGAACCGGTTTGTTACACCACGTGATCGAAACGATCCACGAAATGAGGGGACGTTCGCGTACCGACGTCAAGATTCAAATATGAAGTACATTTCCTATAAAGTGTGCAACCGCTTGGAGAAAGTGTTCCGTATGCGTGTAGCGTTAAAATGAGTTTCACGACCAGATGATGCCTTGTTTCTCGGGTTTCGTCTAGAGAGGCAAACTCGTTGATCGATGACCTTCCGCCGACAAGAGACGACGGAAGTCATAAAGCGTTGTGGAGGTTCTTTTCGTGCCATTGAGCCGGGTGAGTTAGTCATCGATGATCAGACGTGTGTATACCCACAGATGTACGCACCTACTTACACGGTGTATCAAAAGTGTAATCCAGCGTAATTCTCCGGTGATCTGTGTGTATCTCTTTTATAAGTAACAAGCAGTTCCACGAACATTTTTTTCCTGTTATTTAGTCGATTTGTCACAGCCATATTTCTCGTGTTTAGAAAGCATAAAAATACCTGCTATGTCACTTGCATAAGCAAAGATCTCGCTCGTGATATAGTGTATCAACGAACAGGCGGGAAGAATTTTCGGAGCCGGATGTTCAAAATCCAAATATCGATGAATCTCGAAATAACTAGCCAACTATATCATTCTCTATTTATATATCGAAATATTCGACTTGTACTCGAATTCTGATTTACCGATTTAGTAAAATTGGACATTGATCCCTATGGACGGAGGGAACTCGTATAAATTTGAGCTTCTTCCACAATTTAATCTCGAAATTTCAAACATTGAAATTTCACAAGAATCTCTTAAACAATCATCACCCCACACGAATCGTTATCGACGAATCAGATAAATACATGCCGCTGCAAACAACGAAAGAGAACGTACGTAGCCGATTAACCTGGACGTCAAAGTAACGGGCCAGCGTCGAAATTTTTGGACACCCTATACGTGCACGCATATCGAGTGTCTGATGCTGGCGAGTGTCCTTGGGATCTCCACCATGACTCGAATCGAAAAGGAGCCGTAGGTGTACGACCCATGTCCGTGGCTCGACTGTGTATATACCTGTCGAGCTTACCATGCTTCATGGAGATATCGCTAGTGGAAAGTTTCGTCAGACGAAAGTGGCTTATTGCGCGCGGCGGCTGAACGCGGTTAAATCGTACGATCCATCGATGAATTATCCGAGCAACGTGTCTGCATAGTGGAAACTTGTACCGTGTGCGCCGTAGTGGATTGTTTGGCGGATATTAGAACCACGATATGGGGAATGTCATCGTTCCTGTAATTTTGGTGAGTAAGATCTACAATCACTAGTTAATTCCATTGATCGAATATAAAAGAAACGTTAATCGGTGTCTAGTCATTATTCTGAAGGGTTGTCCATATTTCAAAATATTTATTTCTAATTTATTAGGGGTGTCTTGTTGGATATAGTGGCGCCACTGTTTCTGATTTCCCATGCAAGCGTCTTCTTTTCGTTATGCATCTTATCTTCATTGGTCTTACGTTACATTTTGCACCATCGCTGTATAACTACACTAACGAAGATGTTCACACGCACGCACACACGCACACACACACACACACACGATTATTAAATATCAGTTCTCACCAATGGCAGAACGAACGAACGAACGCACCAACGGACGAACCGATTATCCGAGAGGCTGACTCGGTGTCGTAACAGTTTTTTGCCCCGTTTTAAAATTACAAAGAAGCAGACGCTGTGTTTTTCTGCACGGCAATTACTCACAAGGAACGATCAATCGTATGATTCAGTCGATTGCTGGATTTTATTCGGTTCTTAATCTAACAATGCGATTATCAGTCGTACATCGATGCTTCTGGCAAAAGTATGATCGATGAAAAGAATGGGATCGTACGAGAGAGAGACGCGTAACACATACATACTACACAATCTGTCGCATACATCATGCACGTTGCGTTGCAAAATAAAAATCGGTTATTCATGTTCAATTATAAGGAAGAAATAATTCGTGTATCATGAACATAGGAAAATATTTTATTCTTTTTATCTGACAATAGTACATTCCTTCTATAATTGTACAAAGTATAAAACTTCTTAAAGAGTTGATTGTTTACAGAGTGATGAAGTCATTTGAACAAATGATCCTCCGTCCGCCTCAAGCGATGCAATAACCGATTCGTTCCTTCACGCTTTATATCTATCATGGGTGAAAAACATCCTGCGACAGAGGCTAATCGCGTCCTTTCTTCGGCTGTCATTTGCTTAATGGACCGGTCGGTTTTGGACGATGAAACGATACGGAAGGCCGCTTAGTTACATACGAGGCGTTCGTGGCGTCACTCGAATGCGAAAGAGCGAGAGCAGGATGTAATTAAGATTCGACGATTAAAAGACGTCTGAGACTTGTTGTGAACGCGGTGGGAGGTCGTCGCTTTTTCAAATCACCGTGCATGATTCGCGATTCTTCGCGCGTGCTTCGAGTAAATCTGCTGTAACTACACGGCGAATATAATTGCGAATCAAAACGTTAATTATAACCGCTTTAATGCTTTAATTGCTGCTTTACACTTGGCTAGTTACCTCTTTTATTTTCTACTTTTATCAGACGTCTTACAAGGTTGTATCTTTAAAGATCATTATAGTAAAATTTTAGTTCTTCAATTCTCTAGTTCTTCGAATCTTTTGTCGTACACACGATGTCCTTGGAATATTGAAAAATTCTTACTTCTGTAACCTATGTGTTCTCGGTAACCACGGTATTCTCAGCAACGTCGAAGATCAAAAGGCGATCGGTCCAACATTGAAACAAGCCCGTCGTCGTTTATCTTCGTAACGGGAATACGTGTGAAATAAAACTGTCACCGGTTTTAAACGGCTCGATGCAAATTACCGTGCACGTTTCACGCTTATCGACAAGGGTTTAATTCATGGATGCACGCATTATTTCCGGTAGCTGCTAGGTGCACTCAAGCGTGGAGCGCCCAGACACGATGACCAAGCTGTTGCTCGTGAATGTCACTTTCACACTCGACGCCAAGTTGTAATAGAAACGCGAGATGGATCATTCTCGCGTATCAATTATTCTTCCCTCTCGTTCAGAATTATTGCTTGTGTACTGATTCAATTCCCCACGATGTTACTATTCAGTATCTTTGTTTCTTTTCTTTTTTTTTTAATTTCATTGGAATTAACAAACATTGAATAAATTTTTAGGAGTGCCAATTTAAAGACTAATATCTCCAGAGCAGAGAAACCGAGGCAATACCTGCTTTAGTATTCGTCTCAGGTACTACGCTACCATTGCACGAAACTCGAGTCACGGTCAGTCGATCGGGATCTCAATGCCGAGAAATGATCGTGGAACTGGCCGAGATCTATCAAGGATGAATGATTCTGAACGAACCCCGTAACACCATATGAAATTCGATGAAATTTCGAAGAAAGAAAAAAAAAAGATGAAACATTCTCCATTCTTCCGAGCCGCTTCTAATGAGGATGCATCGAGCGTGAATTCGACAGAGAAAGTCGTATATCATGATAATGAATGCCGTTCGAAGTAGCGTGTATTCGATTGCGAGTTTCCTTACCGTGTAATTTAAGCGTACAGTATTTCTGCTCGTTCGAAGTGTTCGAAATACCCTATTCCACTGTAATATATTCATTTCGATGGGTTCTTCTAAAAGTGACCATTCCAGTTAAAAAAAAAAAAAAAATACAGCCGACTGTATTCCTAGCACTCACACAATTCTCTCGTTTTATTTTCAGTGGTGAACGATCGTCGGCCAAGCACACACCAATTAAGCGTCGAGAACGTAGGAGGTTTCGCAGAATCGAAAGGAACCAAGTGGAGTATTGTGTGTCCGCACGTAAAAGGAGAAACCGGCGGAATGAAATCGCGAGCGTGATCACGGACAGAACAGGCCAGGTGGCTTTATCATTTCGGGTCGCCTGTAGAGGAGCGCCTGTGAAACGCTGAAAGCTCAGAAAAGCGTGACCGGTACGTCCGCTTGGACGTTGTACGGCGAGGAAGAGGGAAATAGAGAGGTGGAGAGGTGGGAAGGGAGGGCGTTTAGAGTGGCCCATTTCCCTTATCACGATAAAGCAGCGGTATAGCTTCTCTAACGGTAGTGCTTTAGAGGCGGTACGAACCAACAGACAGAACGTACACGAAGCGCGCGGCCCCAGTCAGCCAAGAGTAGCTTCAGGTTGAGTCATTTTCACGTACGATCAGTCTGGTCGTGGATTGTAGCCGCGATGGATCGAAGAGCTGACGCTAGGTCGTCGCTGTTACCGTTGTCGTGGTCGTGGTCATCGTCATCGTCGTTTTCCTCGACAGTGTCCCTCTGATTAGCAAGAAAGAAAAGGAAACGAACACACACTCTCTCTCTATCTCTCCAGGGAAAAATAAACATGGAGCTGGTTACTCGTGCATCCTTGGATTCACTGCAGGTGATGGACGATGGACGGGTCGTCTCGCCGAACAGTCTTGATGAGTGGACCTGGTCCAGTTTGCGAGTGAGTGAATCATTTTGTCGACGATCCATCCACTTCGCTATGAGAAGCATCAAAGTCTTTGCACACGGGGGAATCGATTGGCTAGAGGCGATGTTTCACGATCGCCGGTTCGAGTCCGTCGTCGTCGTCGTCGTTAACAAGCGAACGATGCTAATTGGAAGCGCGCGGGAATTTTTCTAGCAGAAAGGGAATGTACGCAAACGTGGGTATTTTTAATCGCGATGCTAATGATCGGTGTGTCAAGAGGCTCCCGGAATGAATTAACACAGACACACACACACCGGGAAAAATTTTGCCTGCGAGTTTCATTAAAATTGAAAAGTGGCTAAATATTACTTAAACTTGCGAGACTTAGCTTTCTTAGAAAGAATCGATATTGTTGACTTTTAAACCACGTTTAAAAAACGTTGGCAGAGATATTTCACGTTTCGTAATCATCGTTGATCGTATCCAGAGATATTAGCGAATTTAATCTAATATATTCAATTTTCGTCTCCGTCAGATAATCCTACCTAATTTCCGTATCATTCTAATCATAGATAAATGTTTCCGTTCGTTTAGTAGCGTTTCACACGTTTTTGCAAAATATTCCCGCCGACCGCAGTATAATAATTGAATTATAAGAACGGCGTTAGGAGATGGACGAGGAGGCCGTGAAAACGTTAGTTAACGCGAGAAGTCGCTATCTGGTAACGTCGTGAAGATTTCCGTGAAATTGCAATTGATTATCACCGGTTTTATCTATCATGACGGGGATCTTAACGACTTTGCAGTCGCATACTTATGTGAAGAAGTTGAAGAGTAGTCGGATGTTATATCGTGTTTTTTGCTTTGATTACAAGGAAAAGTTGTAATTTTTTCGCGCGTGAACAGCTTATTTGTTACAATATCGGTGCTTGTATCAACAAACGTTCTTGATAACCGCAATAGCGAAAACAAAAAATTATTCAATCTGGATCACGTCCTTCGATCGTAAATCCAGCGATGTATGTTAGTGTGCCGATATCTGGGTGATCGAACTTTTTGAAATTGGCGCCAATAGGGTCTTCCTTGAAGAATTTTCTCGGTTAAAAATACACCTTATGACGTCACTTTTTTATCTCTTCTTTTTGTTTCTGTCTCTTTTTCTCATTTTTATTTTCCTGTGTATATATATATATATCTCGAGGGGGAGGGGAAGTTCGATTTCGCGCGACAAGCAGACCACTCGTAACGCAGCCAATTAAATTCCTAAAGCAAGTGGACGATATTATTTTTTTCTAAACATTCTTATCACTTCGCGAAAGTTCAAAACATTTTGCAGCGACCGTGTTATCGACGCGCGCGCCGTTATCGAAACTTCTAATCTCGAGACCACAGGAATGCTAAATATTTTCAGATCTCTCGATTCTTCATGCAATATCGGATTCTATTGAACAGTTATCGCCGTCCCTGTCTAGACTAAACTATGCCGCGTTGGAAAATTTCACTCGGAATCTCAATGCGCGAACGCGCGATATTATTTCCCCTCCCCCATCAAATATGTTTCCTGAGAAAACATTTTTATTCCGCAAATTGCTATCTGCCCGCTACGATAGTTTCCTTAAGCTTCCTCGTTTCTTACCTCAGACTTGAATGAAGCTTCAATAAGAAAAACAAATTCAACTCTATCGAAAGATAATCAGAGCTGCTTATTACTGGTAAATCTCACTGATATCAATTACTCTATCTTCAATTAAATCATACATTGAATTACACTCAAACGACGATTTGAAAAAACTGCGAAATAACAATTAATAAAAACACAACGATTTGTCAATCTTTCACACTCTCAGTCTCTCCTATCTAGATAACCATAAAAATCCACTGAATTCATCTTACAATTCTTTCTTGAAAAAGAAAACTCTTCGACAAAACCTCGAAAAAAACACTTTCATCGACACTTTCTTAACCATGTCACTCGAAGCAAGCTATCCTAACCTCATCTGACTAATATTCAATACTGCCAACGTACTTACTTACGTTCCAGGCAAGAGTACACACGTATATTATGACGATTAGACGAAAGGAGAGAAAAAAGGATGGGAAAAGGTGGTCGGGCACGAGTTCGAGATTGAAGATCAATATTCGCTGGTCCGGACGAAAGGTTCTTGTGGCCATAGAACCGAGGCACGAGAAACGCACGCGCGAAACGCAGAGACAGGAACGCGTATCGTTTCTGTACGGAGAGACTCTCTGGCACCGGTGGTTTCCTTCCTGCGGCAGGGAACCGGTGGAAAGGAAACGCGGTGTGTGTCGGGTGGAGGCGCGGCTGCGCCCCACGATACTCGGTCCGATTTTTATCGTACTTCACGTCGAGCCGCATAATTCACGTCAGCCACCGTGTGCACGCGTCGATTTTTCATCAGACAGCCGGTGACTGTCCGGAGATAGACGCGTGCGCGCGCGTCAAAACTTCCCGGCTCCTTCGTTTTCCTCTCATCAATGGGGAAACAGTGCTTGTAATTTCATCTCGCTTGTTCTTCTTGCCTGGTAATTCACCGTGTCAAACCAATAATCACGTTTCGATAGTGTGTGATTGTTTATTCGTATCTCGCGGTTTCGGTACAGTTGTAAGAGAGGAAGTAGTGTGTGGGATTGATTTATCGGATTGTATCGTTCGATAGAGGCGAACGAAGAGGAGGTGTACCATTTTCATCGGAAGGTGTGACTTTTTGCAAAGTGATTTAGTTTAGAGATATTCGAGATGTTGTTGTTGTCGACGTGTTTCTGAGTGGACAGTTGTGCGATGGTGTGTTTTTCTGTCGCGTAATTCCATACGATTCCATATTGGACGAAGCGTAGGAAACGTCGAAGGATTTTTCCTGCGCTCGTCCCGGATCGACTGGAATGTTACAGTAACCGTCAATAGTCTCGTTATGTGTGTTATGGATGATAATCGCGCGAGAGGGAGATTCATTTGATTGGTACGGCTGACCGGTATGTAATTGCATGTGATCCGGGGAAATGTCATACTCGTTGAAAGATCGGTGTGACGAACACGTGTGTTAGGCTCTCGTCTAGCGCGAGAGAGACTTTTGGTTTCGCCAACGAAAAAATTCTACTGACAAAAACGCGTTTGATCCTAGCCGTGGCACAGGACAAAGGAGATTGACGTTTAGAGAAGGCCAGCTTGTCCAGGGCGAATCAGTCTTAGACGAGGCGTGAAGGAAGTAAAGATATTGAACGTAAAAATCGAATTTTCGATTTTTCCTCGCACACTTACATGTGTTTTTGAAATTGGTTGTGTTTTTCAAGTGATGTACGACTTGTCTGTGTGAAAATGGATGGCGCATTTTAACCGGTTTCATTCACCGTTTTCATGTGAAACTAGTTTTCTTCATCGATCGATAATTTTGTGGATTTAAGGTGGTCTTTCTTTCTGTGACAACTTGCTCGTGACAGTGCGTGCAGACAGGTTTTAATTTAGATGAACGATCGACGGTAACACTTGCGCCCCCATTCGTCCACTCGGTTTCCAAACTAGAACACTATTTTCGCGTTTAAGACTATTCTTCTCGAATTTGATGCTAACTATCTAGAAGTACATTTTTCCTTATTTTTCGATTGCTATTCCTGGTTTGTTTAATTAGCCTCATTTCTCACGAACTTTAATTCCCAAGTCATTTGGAAGGTAACGAGGCAAACACGCTTGCTATATCACGCGTTAAATTCAAATGATCACGGGTGAAAGTTAAAAGAATCCATTGTAAAATGTTGCATCGCGTTGCTTCAAGCAGAGGGCATTAATCACGAAACAATAATTCGTTCTTATCTTTAAGCTGAAATATGATAATCTAAATTTCAAGAAAAAAAAAGAGCATCGTATGTTTTCTTCAAAATTTCATAAATATAATCGTAACCCAGTTTTTTCCCTCTTATTAGCATCGAAAGTTGCGTAGAAAGGAAAAGAACGAACTGGATCGATGTCAAAAAATATTGTTACGATAATGATCTATGTTAGCTCAGTGAGAAAGTCCAAACAACGATCCGTTCGGCCACACGCCGAATACATAATCTCACATGAGCTTTCACTTTCAGAAACAGTTCAAATACAAGAACCTAGAGAAGCTGTTCACGGTTTACCAGAGGAGGCTTCAGTATGGTTATCTGTCGCTCTTCGTTATCCTACAATTGGCCCTCGGAAGCACGTATTGTCTGATTCTGGTTACAATGGTAAGTGAAACAACGTGTGGAGGCCTCTAGTTGAAACCGACAAGCCGTACCAGCGCGTATATATCGCATTAATTAAAGCTTCTTCTTTCGTGTTTTTAATTACCGCTATCGCGTGTGGAGAACTTCGCGAATTCTTTTCGTATAATATCGTGTATCCTTAACGTGGGAGAGTATTTTAACGCGTTCACATCGAAACGATACATTATCGTTGAAAACGTTCAAATCTCACGATGTTACAAATAATAAATTAGAAGTTTATTCAATTTCATTTTTTTCAAAATCGCGAACAACCTCGACTACCTCTCCACAAGCCAATTCTCGTTGAATCGATAATCTTCCATCGGTAAGGAGCGGCCGGTCATTTCGTTTCTATTTATAGACCTGCACACGGTGTACACAGAAATTACGGGTAAACCGCATGTAACGATACTTGGTATCGCCAAAAATACCCGCATAAGTGTCCAATTGGACAGAGAGAGAGAGAGAGAGAGAGAGAGAGAGAGAGAGAGAGAGGCAACATTTAAGATGTTCCACTTTTTCCACAGGTCAACATTGAGAACTGTGTGCCAGACGTGGTGGTTTGTAGTGTGGTGAGCGCGTTACTATGCCCGGTGATCGCCCTCTCGTTCAGGTCGAAGATCATCGCGAGGAACACCTATCTTCCGGTGATGTTGTCCTGTTTGATCGTGGTACTGTTGGTAATCGGTGATCTGGCTGTTCCTCTATACTACACCCTCATGTATACCGACAACATACCACCGATAAGGTAACGTCGATAACGAACGGGGAAGTTCCTGGCTAATCGTGGCAAGGTCGCCGTTTAATTATCATCGGCGACCTTCGTCCAGTCCCGCTCGCATAACCTGCGCTCCATGCCTCGTAACTTCGGTTTACTTACTTCCTCGAAACCACAGTTACGAAAGATCGGCGAACCGCTTATCGATATTAATCTTGTCGGAAGAGAGTATTGAGGAGATAGGCGCAAGAGACGAGCGTGAAGTTATACAGTTCCATGCAAAAATAGCGTGAATTGCAAATTTTATTTTGACTGATAATCTCAGTAGGAAAGTTCTATTTTTAATGAAACTTTGTGTGTGTATGTGTGTAGAAGATAACGAAGTATGCAAGAAACAATTTTTTGTTTGGTGGAAAATCATTTTGAGGGGGTGAAATCAACTCTGAAAGTTTTTGAATTTTTTTTTTTTAAATGGAACAAAATTTTTAACGTATGAATTATTCTGTCGTTTGTGCTCTATTACTCTATTACCAAAAATATTTGTCCACCATGCGTAATTTTTAAACAAATAAGTTTATTTGAATAATACTATCTTTTATTCTTTTAGTGGTATCTTCTAAAACTCAGTTGTTTGCACTCACGCCTCTCTTGCGGTTGCCTCTTCAATTTTGCTGCGGGTTCCGTGAGATACTTCCCTGCAAGGTCGTAATTGTTTTTTTTTTTTTTAAATAAGAAAAGATGTTTCAGGGTAGATAACGAGCCATCTCAAGTCGTTATCTTCCATTATTGCAATAAGATCAGAGTTAATGAAGTTGCTCCGATCTTGATACTTGCCGTCGTTTATATTTTCTTTTTCCTTTTAGTCGTTTTTCGCGATTATGTACATATCCGTGCGAAAATTGGAGAACACGTTTGATCGTTGTTAATTAGATGCATATAGAGTAATGCGCGACTCTTATTAGCGAAACGTATTCAGTAATCAGCTAATTGAGAATCAATTTACCTTTTCCGCTAATGAATGTATTGGTACGAAGTTATACAGTGGTTATATGCCAGTATGTTAATTGCATTTGTTTTTTCAGACCCGCGTATGCAACGCACGCGCTCCTGGCCTGTTATGTCTTCCTACCTCTCACAGAAAATCTGCACGCTTTCATACTCGGGATCACGGCTACCATATGCTACCTGGCCACTCTCTCGTTAATCACTTACAGAAACACGTTCGATTATACTACGAAGGTAACGTCTCGTGATCGTTGACGTAAGATTGTTGAAAATCAACCGTATAAATATACGTTTAGGTGACGTTTTCGAATAATCGAAGAATCAGCTGATCGGATGAATTTTGTTATCTAAGAAGATTTTCTTGAATTATTTACGAATATTTCAATTTGTCAATTTTCAGATCATTACGGATACGATATACTTTGCCTGCGTGAATGGCCTAGGACTGTATTTCAGATTTATGAATGAAGTTGTTATCAGACGATCGTTCCTTGATCGTCGGAAATGCGTGGAGTCAACGTTGCGGTTGAATTATGAAAAAGATCAAGAAGTATGCTTCCTTCTATAGATATGTTGTGATATTTGAAGAAACTATTTTTATAAAGAATTATAACAATTTATAGGAACAACTCACGCGAAGTATATTACCACAACATATAGCTGCAAACATTAAGAAAGATTTTAGGGACATTTTTAAGTTCATAGAGCAACACAAGAAACCACCGCCTAAAGGACGGTCTCATAAGTACGCTAATCTTATGATAATTTAATCATCTCCAATTGTGTAGGCATAGAATTATAACGAAAATTTTATCAATGGAATTTCAGTGATCTACGCGTCGAGAAGCACAACGATGTAAGCATCTTATACGCTGATGTGGTGAATTTCTCTGGATTAACTGTGACGTTACCAGTACGAAAATTAGTCGAGACTTTGAATGATTTGTTCGGTAGTTTCGACGAGGCTTCCGAGAGACATAATGTTCTACGAATCAAATTCTTAGGTGATTGTTACTATTGCGTGAGTGGTATACCAACTCCAAATTCTCAGCACGCGAAAAGCTGTGTAGATTTAGGTATACTATATTTCCTTATACGTATATTCATCTTTGTATATTCACTTACATGATCGGAAATTCAATTGGTATAATTGCAGGCCTAGACATGATAAAGATTATCAATGAAGTAAGAGCAAGAGTACGTCGTGAGAGTGGAGTGGACGTAAACATGAGAATTGGAGTTCACTCGGGCAACATAATATCGGGGATTCTGGGCGCCAACAAGTGGCAGTACGATGTTTGGTCACGCGACGTCGTTATAGCTAATAAAATGGAGCAAACAGGAAAACCCGGCAAGGTTCACATTACACAGCAAACGTTGGATCTGGTAGATGCCAGGGAATACGATTGCGTTCCCGTCGAGTCCTTGAACGATGAGGTTCTTAAGAAGTACGGAATTCGAAGCTACCTGATCACGCCGTCAATTCCCGACTTGCCACCTATGCAGGTGCGTATTTCCCAGTGACGTAGGAAGCTGGTGGTAGACCAAAACGAGATGGAGAAATCATATATTTAACTCTTTAGTTACGGTGTATACCAAACAATGGTAAATGGTGTAATTGAGTACAGTGTTTTGCATGACTAACGCATTTTTTGGCGGAACCAATATAGTCAATTCGTAAAATCAGTCAGGCCTCAAAGTACAAAGTTTGAGGAAGATAAGGAATTCGAGCTTGGTTCAGGGCTGTTCGATGTCAACTCTGAATTCTATTGCAGTACATCCAAAAATCTTGTCTACCTCTTAATCCTTAACAGCTGCAGGTTAATTTTTACTAATATGGCCATTACTATTGGACAGGGGGCGTTGGAGACTTAATACAGTATAGCTTTAATGAAAGATTGTAAGCAGAAATTTTAAATATCAATTCACAAATGACATACGGCCCTAGATGTGGCTATATCATCGTTTAATACTTCAATTTACGACGTCACTATGTCACTTTCACTAACTGTACTTGATAATTCTTCGAAGATTTATATATACGTTCTTCATAGCAAAAGGGATAGGAACATTTGAGCAATTCCTACGCCACTGATATATCACCTTAATCGTTGAACGAAATTCCGTCGAGTGTTTCGTATCGTTGACAAGCGGACCTTGTTGCAGAACAGCGAGAGCACCTTGACAGTCATAACTCCGGATCCCCCTCGGGTGGATAATAAGCATTACGTGAGATTCTACAACGTTAGATCGACAAGTGTGAATTCTGGCTCAAGAAACAGTAGACGGCTCACCGCCACTATAAATAATCACGTTGATGTGTTCGCCAGCACCTACAGACGACGTACACACTTTATGGACTCCTGTTTGCGGGATTATCATCTCATGCTCAAAACCGCAGATGCGGAGATGGAGGAGGCTATTAGGCAAATGCCTCTCACTAAGTGGGAGTAAGTAGCACCTGTAGGTCAGCTATTTTGCACATGTTGCAGGATAAAATATTAAAAGATAAATTTTTGGATAATCTTCCAGGCAATGGTGCAAATGGGAACACATAAATCCTGTGTTCTTAACGTTTCAACAGTGGAGTTGGGAGATACCGTTTTTGAAGGAACCTGATCCGCTTTTTAAGTTTTATATCAGTTCTGCGGTTTTTGTCCTGATCTTTATGGGACTGATTTACCTAGTACCAACGCTTTCTCTTTCTGAGTATGTTTTCATTATAAAAATGTTTATTAATAGTACAATTATATTTTAATAATATGATAATTAATTTTTAGGTGGCACTTGAGCACAACGATTAGTTATTCGGCAGCGTTGCTATTTTTGATCGCTTTACTGCCGATAGCTTGGATGCACTTTGCGTGGAACCGATACAAAGACCCACACGATGAACAGGAAGGGCACGTTCCCCACCCACGCAATAAATTATTATGTTTTCTGTATCAAACCAGCGTAAAGGTTAATATTATTGTATATTCAATTTCTTATATGATCATTATACTATTTCATAGTATATAATTTGTATATTGTACTTTAGGTTGTCTGGAGCGCAGTTCTCAGAACAGTTCTGTATCTGGTAATAACGATAATGTTAGCAGCTTGTGCCATGTTTGACATGATTGTAAGTAAACGGTATTAAAAAATATTATACAAAGTAGCACAATTTATTTAATGATTCCATACTTTCAGTTTGAGTGTAAAAATGTGGATGAGCATGGAAGCAACAATATGACATCTAGCGTAATTGAACCGGGCGCTTCAGAAGTCGAATGTGTGGCTACACCTTGGGTAAGATTGTTTAGTAGGTACTTGTATGCTGTAGATTCTTTTCTAGATTAAATTCTCTAAAATACATGACATCATTTTTAATATTATTCAATGATTATGTTTAGCAAATGACGCAAACTTGTTCCTTGGCAATTCTGACAAGTTTTCTGTTTCTGAGACTCCATTATTTCTTAAAGTTAGTGATAGGCATCGCGGTAGTGGCATTTTATTCGTGGAATGTTTGGATACATCGTTCAAATTTGTTTCAGGTAATTTTTAATTCTCGACAACAAATTAATCGGTGTTAGTTGTGATTTTATTTCCAACTCTTTTTCACAGTCAGGTGAGAGATGGAATCCATACTTAGAGCCTAGATTGGCTCACATTTTAAGCGTAGTTTTCCTTACTTTTTCTTTACACTTGATCGACCGTCAGGTGAGTGGAAATGAACCAATAAATTCACAATTTCTTCAGTAACATATTGTTTGTGTATGATAACTCTGATGAAAATTTATTCAGGCAGAATACTTGAGCAGATTAGATTATTTATGGAAGCGTCGATTAACCAAAGAACAGGACGAAGCATTCCACACAAGAAATGCCAATAAACTTTTGCTTCGTAACATTTTACCAGAACATGTTGGTATGTTGGTTTTTAAGTAACACTAAATTGTTAAAAATTAAAAACGTAATTTCATTTCGTATAAATTCTACGTAGCGGAGTTCTACTTAAACATGAATAGAACACAGGAGAACGAGCCTTATCATGAAGCCCATAGCAACGTGGCCGTCATGTTTGCTTCATTGACGAATGTATCCATTGATGAAAGCCAATATGATGATGAAAACCAAACCAATATTCTGGCACACCTAAACGAGATCATATGTGATTTTGATAAATTGCTATTCAAGCCGTGTTTCACTTGTCGAATTGAAAAAATAAAAATTGCTGGTAAATAATCGAAAAAGGATACACATGAATGATTTCTGAGATGTACTCTAGAATCATAATAATATAAATTATCTTAGGCACCACATACATGGCAGCTTGTGGATTAGACGCCATTCGACGCGATTCTATGCGTAGCACGGAAAGTGATGAAAATTACACCGACGACGTGGTAAAGGTGATGGCCAAGTTTGCGGCTGAGATGATGGCAGTGCTAGATAAATTAAACGCAAAATCTGCATCGGAACCTCATAAGTACCTACTTGCATTCTATAAATCATCCTTTAAATTTTAAATCATTTACACAAAATAACAAACACTTTCCTCTTAGATTGAGAATTGGAATATCACATGGAGAAGTAACAGCAGGTGTAGTAGGTGCTCAAAAGCCATTATATGATATTTGGGGAGATGCTGTAAACATGGCATCAAGAATGGACACTACCGGTGTTCCAGGAAAAATACAGGTTCAGTTAGAATTAGATTTTGTTCGAAGATTATTCGTTTTTGTAATAATTCCTATTTGATATGATAATTATGTACGTAGGTTACATCGGAAACTGCGGCTGTTCTTGAACAGCAAGGTGTCAAGTGCCACCTTCGAGGAAATACATACGTTAAGCCGAAAGGTTTCGTCACAACGTATTTCATAGGTATCGACAAGGGACGGCAGCTTGAGAGAGCGGATTCCATCGAGGAGACCAGTCTGTGATTGACACGTTAAATCGATTTTGTGACAAAGTGAGATATTAGGTATCTGGGTGAACACATAGAAGGACGAAAGAGAAACCAAAGAAAATTTGAAAGACCAAAGAATCGAGACGAAGCGATACTATGTGGAATACCTCAACTTATTGAATTGAGTTTGTAGTAAAGTATGTTACCAATCGTATGTCGTGACCTCGATTACCGACAGAGTGATACGCACCATTGTTATAAATCGAGAAACGAGTTTTAATAGCATCCTTTTACACAGAAGGAACCGAACAAGATTTTGTATGACCAGTACATGTGTAAAAACAGCTTTATACGTATGCTGTGCATTTTAAAATATCTTGTACTGACGTTTTTCAATCTGTAAAGATATTAGTTTACGTGGAGAATGTGGTTTTATGTGAAAGTTCGTTACCGTAATTAACGAACGTTATTTGGTTGGACCACTTAAAATGTTTATAATGTAAATAAGCAAGAAAGTTTTTAAACGAGTAGTATTTGAAAAACGCTGCTTTAAACGATGCACAATCCACTGAAAGTATGACGTAATAATTGGTGATAAAAATATTTCCAAGGAATGATTCTTTGCATATGACAATTCGATATTTAACGATTCGAGAAATAATCAAAAGAAATATAACAATTTATTTATATCGATTCATGTGAACGATAATGATGTTTTTTTCTTTCAACTGTATGTTAAATGTACAATGTACCGTGTCCGAATAACAAAAAGGTAGCTAGTTCAAAGTATTTATTGACGTAGGTTTTTCCAGGATCATGACAATAGGCGAACGTTTTGAAAATTCACAATTGTGAAGCTAGAAAATTGTTTGTAACTGAGAAGATTTCAAAACTGAGCCTTGAAATACCTGGATGACTTTAGCTTTCTTTCGTTCATGTTGAACAAAGTTTTTCGATCATCTATGATACCACAATTTCGTGTAACGTGTATTAATTTGTTTCCATGGCATAACTTAAATAAGTATTTTATACAAATTTATGTGTTCTTAATTGAGCAAACCGGGGTGGAATATTATAATTGAAACATATTTTTCCATTATGTGAAGATTATTATTCTTTAAATCATAAAGCTTATCACAGTCATGACTTATATATACTTTTTAATTTTATTTAAACGTATAAGCTAATTAAATGATGTAAATTTAAATTTCCCCCAAATCGCAAATTTTAAACTGAGAAAGATTCGTATTTAATGGATAAGTAAAATTCATTCTTGTCACGCGATATTAATGCACTTTTAAAATAATGCCCGCAGATTATATCCGAGTCATTATGTTTATTTAACAAATCGTTCTATGAAAACAAACACGACGATTTTTATCAACACAGTTTCTTTTTTTAATTTATAAACCACACAATTTTATAAACTAAGCTCTCCACCCTGATTATAAGTAGAACTACAAGTTTATTTTTCTATCGAATATATTATTGGTGCGACGAGCGCTCATTTATTTCTTTGTAAATACTTTTGTATATATTTTTTAAATATTAAAAACGACCAATGTGATTATTCGATGATTCGAATAAAATATTTATTACTACACACAAGATACAAGTATAATTTGTAAGCAGACAAACATAGGAGAGCGCTGTAACAAATGTTTATACACTCAAATAAAAAAATCTTGGAATACTGAGTACTTTATTTCTTTTTATCTTCGTCATTTTCCCGTTATATTGAATTTTTTCAGAATAATACTTTCAAAACTTTGTGCAAGTCGTCGGAACGAGATCTCGCGATAGAGAGTACTACTCATAGCAACACCAGTAATTAAAAGATATTTTTAGTGAAACAGAAAGGGATTAAAAAGCATAGCGAGAGAAAAGTTTGCACCTGTATGATATTCAATAATCGTGTGCATGCGTGTCTAAGAACTTATTTCTTTTTACGCGAATTGAAATTATTCATCAATTTCTCAGCAAATAGCAATAAAGATGGTTTCACATGCGTAATGGCCTCATTTTTCTTTCGGGAGCGGTTTATTTATCTCAACATGGTTCGTGTGTAGAGCTACGTGACAAGTGGTGACGACTATATTCATTCAAACTTGTCTTAGCATTATCGATTTACGCGAACTTTTAGAGCTTCACATAGTGAACTTGGTTTATTTCGAGCGGTATCACAAAGGTCGATGCGTATAGCTTTTGTAGGTGAAATCGCTAATTTTTCGATGGTAACCGTATGAGTCATCTTGTGGGCCGATCATCCTGTTGGTCGTTTTAATGACAGCGGTGGGGCAATAGTAATAATAATTCTTTACCATCTTTGACGTACGAACTGTCATTGTGTTTTCTTCCATATCTGTGACTTTTCATCGTGCGCGCATCTACGTTGTACGCGTGAAAAACCGAGGAGATAATAATTGATTTCAATTTTTATTGCGAACGGTGCTATCACCAAGTCCAGTGTATCCAGAATACGTGAGAAAACTACAAAAGTGATTTTTATTACGATCATTTATCTTGATGTGTTAATCAGTGAATAAATAACCTCTAAGAAGGAGGTTACTGTTGCATATAGTACATAATATTTTAATACTTTTAATCTCTTTTAAATAACACACAAGTCAACATGGATATTGGGTTTTCATCATATCACAATGGTGGTCCTGCTAGAGAACAAGATTTTGGCAGGCTGTCTCAAAGCATTGGCACATCAATTTTAAAGATATCTCAAAATGGTAAGTATATGGATTATGTCTATGTGAGAGGTTAGCTACAATTTCAATTTATGTTCAACAGTATCTTCCATGCAAAAAATGGTCAACCAATTGGGTAGTTCTACAGATTCTCAAGAACTACGAAATCAGTTGTAAGTTTCCATTTATAATTATTTTATATGAATAGCTGTTATACACCATGTCTTTTAGGCATCAAATACAACATTATACACAACAGCTAGCCAAAGATACTAGTGTACATCTTCGAGACTTAGCTATATTGGCTAATAATGCAGGCTCTACTAGTCCAGGAGAACAGAGACAGCGTAAAATGCAAAGAGAACGTCTTCAAGATGAATTTACAAGTGCATTGAACTCTTTCCAAGTAACTACATGAACACATTTTATTTACACAGTGAAATGTATACCTTGTTATATAAATTTCTTTGTTTTAGGCAGTGCAAAGGCTTGCAGCCTCTAAAGAGAAAGAAATGGTTAGGAAAGCCAAAGCAAGTGCAGGTATTGCTCCATTTGGAGAAAAGAAACAAGAAACATTAATAGAATTACAAGATAGCAGAACTCAGAAACAAATACAGCAACAGCAATTAAAGGAGGAACAAAATTTGCGGATGTTGGAGGAACAAGAAGCAAGTATAAGGCAGCTGGAGGTAAATTTTTTTATTACTACAGCAATTGGTCAATCTTTTATATCTATACTGTAATGACTATTTTTACAGAATAATATCAGTGATATCAATCAGATATTCAAAGATCTTGGTGCTTTGGTGCATGAGCAAGGAGAGGTCATTGATTCCATAGAAGCTTCTGTTGAAAGGACAGAAGTAAATGTCAGTGAAGCTAATTCACATGTAAGGCAAGCGAGTATGTATAAAAATAAACTACGCAAGAAAAAATGCATACTTCTTGTTATTGGAACGGTCGTACTATCTATATTGATCGCGATTATAGTTTGGGAAAGCTCCTAAAATGTTTCATGTTCTGAATGATGCTTTCATACAAATAGTATGACAGTAAAGATGTAGCTAAATCTTAATTGCAAGGTACCATACTTGGTTGGTGTACTTTCTGAAAATCGCTTTATAAGTATGTGAGGCACATAGTACTATCAAAGGAAACGAACGCAATGGAAAAAACTTGCATCGTACTGTATCGTATTATTAATAACATTCTTATAATTGTGATAATAAATGGTGCAAGATCTATTTTACAAATAAGATGTGCAAAGACTGCCCAGTCCATTTGTACGTTTCATTACTCATTGTGTAATACTAGTGCATAAAAACACGTATAAAAAAAAGTATATAAATATATATGTACACATAGGTCTATTCATGGTATAGTTGTGATTAATATTCCATATAATTTTATGAAATATACTCAGCGAGTATAGCGATTCATTTTAAACGATGCCAGTGTGCACTTTGAAATCTGAATCTTCTGTGAAGTGTATGAATCAGTATAGAGTGAATGTGTTGATGTAATGATTATATAGTATGTAAGTTTCAAACGTCCTACAAAGATCTTATCTCTTATATCAAGATAAAGAACTAATAGGGATACATGAAACAGCAGAGTATATGAATGAAAAATCGATGTAAGCTAATGTATTATATTTAAGAATGTTGATTTATTTTAATCAAAATGTATTAAATCATATAAAAGAAATTACATATATCAGATTTGAACAGAACGTTTGTTGTATGACTAATGAACGATTATGACTTTAGTTTAAGGAAAATTTTTATTTTTCATTATGTTCAATTAATATAATTTAAAAAATATATAGTAGTGATTCATTAATTGCTAAACCATTCCATATTATATATAAATTGTGGTTTAAATCAAATTACGTGTCATATCGTTTTATGTCGAGATATATTGCGATTCATCGATTGCAATATTTGTAGAATATGCCACCTGTGTCATTTGTTAACAGTGTGCCGTTCCTAGGCGCATTGGGCTTCTTAAGCGGGTATTTGCGGATCTTTCAAATCTCAAAAATCTGAGTGGTTCGAACGGTGATCATTATGACCACGTTCGCTCCAGTCCTCAATATGTCATTTCTAAATCTCAATAGTCAAGGTATCTGAGGTATGGGTCATTTGGATCAACCCTACTGACGAGTTTAGCAAACGATCCCGAGACGAAATGCCTTTCTTTTTATCCCTCACCATTGCATGTCCCCACTCTTCGAGTAGTGTATGGCGCTAAAGGCTAGTAGACCGGAGATGAAGCAAGATCCATTTCTTGTTGCGTATCCGCCTTTACTAGGGGTTTGGGACGTAACATCAGTTACTTTTATATTATTTGACAGTTAAGAGCTGTGTACAAGATGGTACTACAGTAAGTGTTTTGTTTGACAATACACCTGACCAATAAGTTAAATACATCGAAGTAATAGAAGAGGAACACATACTGAATGAGAGTTTTAACAATATAATGTTGAAGCACATTTTCTTCGCAACTGCGATCATATTTGTATTTCTGTCAGAATCTGAGGTTAGAACATCAATTTATAAAACAACGAAATCTAATTGATATAATACATAATCTGTACGAACGATTGCAGGCGCAATATGATGATAAGCGATGTAAATGCATTTGTCCTAGTCTTTCATCCGTTATAAATACAACACAATCGTCATTGGAACGACAAACATATATTATAAATGTTCCACCCTCACAATGGTAATTAAAATTTCTAATATTCAATTAGTGAACTAAATCCCACGTGTTTAACATCTGTACAGTGTATTCAGCACTACATAACTTCATTTAAATTTTAATCCACAGTAACTGTGAAGATGTGGTATTAACAAAAGTAGGGGATCAGTTGAAAGGTAAAGAGGAAATTTTTTGTTCACGATGTGATTGCAAATATGAAAATAGAAACACTGCTGTAATCAAAGTAAGTCTTTTGTTAGTTTTCTTTTAGCAGGAATAATCATGAGATTATTTTTACAGATAGTGGTGATACTTGTTATTTGGGTAATATCCCTCTTAGTGATTTATATGTTATTTTTAATTTGTTTGGACCCATTATTAAACAAAAGAATTCATAAAGCTTCAACAAATATTGGCTATCATGAACATAATAATGAAGAGGTATGTTAATACAAGCTGTTATGTAATATATATAGTATATATAAAATATCAGAGTAATGTATATATGTAGTATTTACTTAAATCATTCATGTTTTAATAGGATGATCCCTCAATAGCCCCTGGTACATCTCATCCTATGGGTGAAAGAGGTAATGTTTTAAATCGCGTTGGTCATCAGCAGGACAAATGGAAACGTCAAGTTCGCGAGCAACGTCGTAATATTTATGATCGGCATACTATGCTTAACTAAATTGTACAGATCTGTTTATAGAAAGAATTAAATATGATAAATAATAATACAAAATCTATGACATTCATTTGAAGGCATTTACAAATTTTGTACATAATTTTTCCAGTTTAACTTCCATATAAACATGAAAATTTAATTCCATAAAATGATAAATAAATAATTGATCTATTTGTAAATGCCACCAAACTAGGTCACAGATGCTATGTTAACATTGCACCGAATATATATACCTAGTAATATTCAAATTTACCGAAGCTAATGTATTAAACAATAAAGTATTAAAATGTGTTATTTTTATTGGTAAGAGTATATATATTTCAATGAAACATCTTTTTTTTGTAAATAAAATATTTTACATTGTTACTTATAAATTGTTACAGGAACATGAATAATTTTACTATATGCAATGATTATTTTCATGGTATGAATAATCAAAAACATTTTGAATTGATTTACTTAATCTATATTCAATTTGTAGAAGAATTAACAGATGTAACACAGTTGAACTAATATCATTTTGGTGCAGCAGGTTTAGGTTTTTCATCTGTCTTTAGCGCGTCCTCAATTGCTTCTTTAACTGAATCATATAACGTTAAAACTAATGCTCCCCCAGTACCTCTAAGAATATTTGAAAGTGAACCCTTAAAAAACGCTGCAACACCTTCTGTTTTGGCTGTTTTCATCCAACAGTCCAATGTATTTTTATACATTATTTCTGTTTTCTTAAGGCCCGATTGCATCATCATACGTCTTCTAACTGTATCAAAAGGATATGATATGATTCCAGCCGTTGTTGTTACAACCTGTAAATAATATTATGTATTACAATTTGAAAATAATCATAAAATAATAAATAACTCACTTGCGCAATTAAAAAGGTAATATGTAGAGGGGTGTGTTTTGGATCAGGTAGCAAGCCTTTTGTGGTATCATAAAAACCGAAGTAAGCGGCTCTATAAATAATAATCCCTTGAACACTCACATTGAAACCACGATATAAACCAAAAAGACCGTCAGTCTTGAAAATTTTTACTAAACAGTCTCCCAAACCTTTGAATTCTCTTTTATCTCCTTTTCCAATATCTGCAGCTAATCTGTAACATATATTTATTACTATATTATATGAAGCTAACAGTATATACACATATGCATTACCTTGTACGAGCGAAATCAAGTGGATAAACAAATAAGAGAGATGTTGCTCCAGCAGCTCCACCAGATGCCAAATTTCCAGCAAACTGTTTCCAAAATGCATCTTTTGGGACACCTCCCAAAAATATACTTTTAAATTTATCTTTAAATGCAAAATTCAAGGCTTGGGTTGGAAAATACCGGATTACATTAGCCAGATTTCCTCTCCAAAAACTTAGAAAACCAGTTTCTTTGGGTATGCGTACAAATGCATCCATCATACCTGATAAAATTAAAATCATATAAGAATAAACAAGTATGCTGATTTATACTCAAAAACGTACCTTTATACCGATCTTCGGGTCTAATTTGTTTTGAGGTATATTGAACTTGGAGTAATAACTTTACTCTTTCCAATGGTGCAACTGCAGTCTTTGAAACAGCTGCAGAGATCCCACCAGCTAAAAAATCTACTAAAAATGACTTGTATGCATCCATATTATAAATTTTCAAGAAATATATGCATCTTCAGAGATAAATTGCAGTGTATAATGATAATAACGATTCAAATTAGAAATCATAATGTTAAGTTGATTTTAAGAGTAAGTTGCCTTCATAGGTTTATTTTAAGATAAGATTCATTTCCAACATACTGAAATTCGGGTGGAACGTTATGTAAATAAGTTTTAACCCGCATTTAACATAAGCTTTTTTAAAAGATTCTAGTTTTATAACTTCTATTGTTTCCTGTTTTTGTTTTTGATTTATAACAACAGGGTGTGCAAATTAACACAACAAATTTAATTTTAACGTTTAATCGCTTTACATAAAATCGAATCTTTTTTTCATCAATTTAAGGCGTTAAATTGGTCATACAAATTTTGTAATCAAAGCTCTGAAATATGTTTCAAGAACTATGACTATTTTTTTCCGTTAGTACAAAGAGTTTCAGATCACAGTAAATTCTAGCTAAAATTGACGCAAAATATATTAATGCATCTTTAAATGTAGGAAGTATAACTAAACATTAAGTAAAGATATTTAAATTTCAGGGACTAGACATAGTTACTTAACATCAAACCACATTGAACAATTGTTAAATATTAGCACTTCCGTTTCTAAAATACGCATACCCGTTAATAATATCAATACATTTGGAAGGTACGTACAGCATATTTAGAGGAATGTTTCGGCACATAGTGGCAAAGTTATATACGTATGGACAAAACTGGACCATCTTTGGTCAATATGAGATTCAAAAAGATATATTTGCATTTGTTTCTCTTCTCTTCTAAGTGCATAAAAGTTTAATTAAAAAAATAATAAACATAAAATCTTAATACGAGTTTAACTTATTTCATTACATAAAATAAAATTGGACTTTAATGAGCCTTCAATATCGATTAAATAAAATACACATTCACTGCCTGTATAACTTAGGCATTCATTGCTATCTATTGCGTATCAGTGGAGTAATGGAATACGAATGTTGTGCGAATATATTCACAATTTATAATCTATTTTCGAATATGTATACCAATTTGAATACACTTGTTTTTAAAATATCCATTCAAAATTGGCACTAATCGAAAGTGATATATTTTTAATTACCTGGCAGTGAAAATACTGAACTTTTTATTCAACGAAATATCATCGAAGTTAAAACTTGTAAATTAACTCTAATATGCAACAGCATATTAAAATAAATGTGTGTATCAAAGACTCGTTAAATACTTAGTACGAGTATGAATGTGGTCAGGAAGTATTTAAAACTCTTGTACCATTTGTTTAAGCAGCATGAACGGACTGAAAAAGAAGTAATAATTAGGTTTTCTTACATTGATATACGTCAGACATTAATTATTATGATTAGCGTACCTTTGCAATATCCACGCCTGTTAAATTTTTAACCAATTCTGGCACACGTGTTACGATACTAAAAACTTCTTCAGTTAGTTTCTCTGCTCCAACAGTTCCATTTCCACTCGAAACCATTGTTATTTTCTTTGCTTGAGATAAAGGTGCTGCAACTTCAGCTGCAACCTGTAAAACATTAAACATAAAAGATTTATATTAGTAAATAAAAGAACATTGTAATTACAATTTAAAATCTTATCCAATTACTTTAGGAAGAGTGTCAAGCATCATATCTATCATAGCGGCACTCTTGTATTCATGCCATGCCGAAGCTTTCTTTGCCATTTGTTCCGCTTCTGCTTTAGCCTTTGCTTCAATAGCAAAGGCTTCTGCTTCACCGCGAATTTTGATGGCTTCAGCTTCTGCCTCAGCTTCCATTACTAAACGCATTTTATTAGCTTCAGCTATCTTTTCTAATCTACAAATATAATGTTTATTAATATTCATTTTCCAATTCCTTAACTTCACGTAACTTACCTATATTTTTCTGCATCAGCTGGACGTCGTACAGTTGCATCTAATTCTCTTTCACGTCTTAACATCTCTTGCTCTTGTACCGCGATTTCTTGTCCGCGTTCAACTACTTTTATTTGCATTTGTTCTTCCATAATTCTTTGTTTAGTTTTTGCAGCTTGTAATTCAAATGCCATTTCCGCTTCTGCTTTCTATAGATAATACATCGTATGTAATAAACATGTATAATTTATTTAAGGGATGATAAAAGCAAAAAAAAATACTTACTTTAGTTTGCACTTCCATATCATAAGCGGCTTTTTTTAGTTCGAAATCTCGCTGTGCTTTAGCAATATCGGTATCGTTAAGGAAACGGGCAGCCATTCTTTGTTCCTCAGCAATAGCTTCACGAATCTGAGCATCTCTACGAGCTTCTGCCTCTCCAATTCTTGCGTCACGCTTCACTTCAGCAGTTCGTGCCATTCCAAGAGCTTTTAGATACCCCTATAAATAATTGACAAATGTTTAATGTTATATAGTTACCAAGAATACTGTTTTTCCGTTAAGAATTTTGTTTAGTAACATTATGTAGGAACCGACGGAAAAATTTTGAGGGACCCAACGGGAATCGAACCCGGACCTTTGGCTTAGCAAAGCCGAGGGCTTTGCGCACTACGCCAACTACTCCCTCTCTATTCTCCCTTGTCGGTTTCCTATTTGGGTATGGAGGCCCCGATACTACCACTCGGCCATCCTGAACTGACATTCGCCCTCGAATGTCCTAAAGTTCAACAACTCAACACTTTCGGGTACACTCCCCCACACAGTGGCACACAGCCAAAACAATGCATTTTTGGGAGACGTGCAACCCTCAATATGTTTTCATCGCACAACTCTTGGCTTCGTGTAGCCGTAGCTGTCTCCATCCCGGACGAGCCCCCATTTGTAGGAACCGACGGAAAAATTTTGAGGGACCCAAACGAGAGAATCGACCCCGGGACCTTCGGCTTAGCAAGCCGAGGCTTTGCGCACTACGCCAACTACTCCCTCTCTATTCTCCCTTGTCGGATTCCTATTTTGGTATGGAGGCTCCGATACTACAATTAATTTCAGCATTGAATTTTTGTTCAGCCTGAATTACACAAAGGCAGCATACAGTAAGAGTACCACACTTATTTGAATGACAAAGTTTTGCAAATATGTATAGAAAGTTTTTGCTACCCACTGAAGCAAGCACTTGAAATATGCTCTAAATTCCACATTATTTGAATATTAACAATTTATACTAATATTGTTTGAACAGCTGTGCATTGGCATTATATGTAGTGATAAAACAAAATTTGAACGTACCTTTGCCCCCTGAAAGTAACAAAACAAAAATGTATTCAATATTTACAGCGTACAAGATTGGACTACATTAACTCATATTAATAAAAATTACTTATAAATATCATAAAACCACTTAAAGGGGGACTTTTGACACCAAAAAGACTTTATGAGTACATATCACAGTATAGCATATTCAATTGTTTTACACTTTTTGCATAAAAATTCTTCCTAAGTTGTTGAACATAAAATAAATGATTTTTAATGGAGAAAAAATTAACTTACTTCTTCATCTCGAATATCTTTTAAAGTATAGGACACAACAGTAATGCCCATATTCACTAGATCACTGCTTGCTACTTCGAAAACTTCTTTGCTGAATTTTTTACGGTCCTTGTATATCTCCTATGGTGCACAAGCAACATAAATTAAATAAAATTAATATTTCTTTCCACATATAAATTCAATTAAAATAATTCAAAATGCTCTTTATTATACCTCTACTGTCATGCTTCCCATTATAGCTCTTTGATGTCCTTCCAATGTTACAAGTGCAATATTATGAATTTCTTCTTCAGTTTTTCCAAGAAACTGTTCACATGCTGTAGATAACATTTCCTCATTTTGCCCTTGTATCTTGACCTTCAAACATGTACATAAATCATTTTTTAATAAATTGTCATTCAATTATTTGTATGTATACACTAATTATAATGTAAGTTAATATTTTTTACCTGTGCAATTCCTGTTACAGAAATTGGTACACCTTGACATGTATATACAGTTGGACTTTCCACTTGTAAAGTATAATTTAGCGCTTTAATGTTTCAGTTTTAATAGTATAAAAATTACTTACTTTTGCACTTGTTGGACCATTGGCCACACAAATACTCGGCCACCAGGTACTAATAGAGGCTTGCTGTAGCAGCAGCCTTGAAAAAACGTCAAAAATAAGTCGTAAATCGAATGCGGAAAAAATTAAACATACGATCCTAAATATCATCTTAAATTTGTGTCAGAGATAGAAAAAAATAAACGGGTTGTTAAATGATACAGTAATATAAATCGGTATTGAATATGTGAAATTAATTACAAGAAATTAAAAGTGTAATACAAAACTGATTTCTCTACTTCATTGCGAACTAAATCTTCCCAATCAATTAATTGACAAAGTACTCCTCCCATGTCGGCTTACTTGAAGCACGTAGAAAGCGAATAAATCATAACAAATATTTGTGTATATAATTACCTGACACTACAAGAGCCTCGTTCGGCCCACAAGTAACAAATCCATAACTCATAGTTGCAAGTGTAAAGAAAAACAATAGTTAATGCAAGTTTAAAGGGATCGAATTTCGGTGTAATCCCTCTACAGTCAATTGACGTCGCTACGATGTCGTCATTCTGAGATACTATCGGAGCTTATGCCGAGTTTGCAATAGACGCGAAAAACGTACGCACAAGTTTCGTGACATACATGTCCGTAGTCTTTCGCATGAAATCATATACAGTAATCAGATACGTTTAATCATACAATTTTTATAACTTAATAATAGGTCAAAATTTATTTTACATATTTTATATATGTATATATAAATAATACATTATGAAATATGTCATTATGAAATACATCATTCTTCTTTTTATATTACAGATTATTTTAAAATCGCCTAAATTGTTTTTTAAATCTCTCATAATGGTAATCATCAGTTGCTTTTTCTCCATTATCTTTTCGTTTTCCTTTATAATCATCACGAGGAGCTGCAATCTGTTTTTTATCATCAGAATCTTGTTTTGACTTTTGAAAATCTGTATCTTCTATATTAACTGAAAAACAAATATAAAAAATAATATTTATGTATTACATAAGATAATTTAAGTTGGATAAAGGTAAAAATAAAATAAATAATTTACATCTATTGTGTTGTACAAAATTCACAGCCATATTTGTTGGTACAAACTGAGAGGGACCATCTTTCTTTCTGTGTCTATCCCACAGCAATTTTAACTTAGCTTCTTCTGTAGCTTCAATATTACGAATTTTTGCTCTACAAATATTTTTTTATTTATAATAAAAATGTTTACTTTCATGAACAATTTGCTGAAAAATTCAAACATGTAAAAAACATACTCTATTCCAAGGTCTACCTCTGGAATGCCAGATAACATTTGATTTGAAAGCATTTCTTCACTCCTATGTGCAGAACTTTGTCTTAAATGTTCAGGTACTGCTTGCAAAGCTGCTTCTTCTGGTGAACAATAAGATCCTTTCTCACTATTGGATCCATTTTCTGTTTTGTCTTCATTTTTACTTTTCCTCTTTGATAATTCTTCTTCAATATATTTTACCCTAAATAAATGAATGTAGAAATTATGAATTGATTACTTAATTTTTAATATTATAAAATGTTCCAATACTAACATTTCCTCATCTTCGTCTCTTTTATTAGTTTCTGCATTAAACTGTGTACCAATTCCTGTTTCATATGCATCATTTTGTTTTAATTTTGTATTTTTTAATGCAGCCATATTTACCATCCCTCCAGTTTTTACATTAAAAGGATCTGACTGAAAAAAATATTTCCATAAAAAAGTTCTATCTTTTATTTACTAATTACTGTATCATACTTACTGTCATTACATCAGGTGTTACATTTTCCCCAAGAGCTAATCCAACAACGTTTACTCCTTTCGGACGCTCGCGAAGTTTTTGTATAATTTTCATTTCTTCAACTTTTTCTCTAAATAAATATGCATTTATCACAATCAAGTAATGTTTTTATATTTAACTGCTGCCTAATCTCTACTACATATATTTGTATTTATCATTTACCTGACAGATGCTTCTTCACTTTCGTTGTCATCTTCATCTGATGAAGCCTGTCGTTTCCTTAGTGGTTTCCTTGATCTTTTTTTAAATTGTATTCTATTTTCTTCCGTACTAGTCATCTGTTTCAAAGGACACATTAAAACAAAGATTTTCTACTAATTTCCTATTAATAAATATTAACAACAACGTTTGCAAATAAAAAAATAAGTAAACAGCGCAAAAATTTACAGGTTAACACACACTACGAATTGATAACAGATTTGAAACACTTTATGTCATTTTACAATGATGAAAAAGTACATCGCTATCAACATATGTATTCCATGAGTTATAAAGATATCAGATGTGAAAGTTAGTAGAAAATATATGAATGCAAGATATCCCATGAAAAAAACTATAGGAAGGTTTTCTATCTAGAACTCATTTTTTCTTTGATTAAACTACACGTGAGAAATAACAGGTGTACGGCACGGTTTAATGTCAATGCGGATTGTTTTCTACTCTTCTAAAATATGAGAAACTGAATTTAATAAATTAGTATTTTCAAATATTTTAGCAACATGAAGAATAAACCAACTCGTCATAAAGAATTAAACACATTTCAGGTATGAAATATATATAAAAAATTTTTTTAACAAGCATTTTTTAAACCATTTTTTTCGTATAGTTTAAATCATTTTCTGAAAGAGTGAGTGAAATTGACGTCGATGTATTTCACCGTGTTGCCCACCGAAACGAGGAGAACAATGAAGAAATTGAAACATATTTTCACGAGACACTTCAAAAATGGAATTATCTTAACCTTACAGAAGGTTATAGCAACTTTAAAAAGAAAGTTCGCAACATTATCACACTCCCACAATTGGTAAATCAAAAGCAATTCGTAATAGACACATTAATAGAATATTTGGAAAAAAAAGATGTTTTATTTCTACAACCAATTTTAGAGTAAGTGTTGAATGAAAAATTCTATCAATTAGCAAATTGATAAATGTAGACTAAAAGACTACTTTAATAGATATTTTTTACAGATTAGTGGTAGCTGTATCTAAAGATTTACAAAAAGATTTTTATGAATATTTCCCTAAATTTCTGACAATTATTGTTGACTTATTACAAACCAAAGATACAGAACAAATAGAGTATACATTTACATCATTAGCTTATTTGTTCAAATTTTTATGGAGATATCTGGTTAAAAATGTTAAAACTGTTCTTGACCTATTGCTACCATTATTGGCAGATACACAACCAGCCTATATAAATAGCTTTGCAGCTGAAAGCTTTGCATTTGTGGCACGTAAGATTAAAGATAAAGATTCTTTCTTGAAAACAATATTGCATATTTTAAAGAATAATCCTAATGGAGTACCAGGATGTAGCAAATTATTATTTGAAATAGTGTCTGGTACACCAGGACTATTTCATTCATGTGCAGAACAAATGCTTTCATTATATATTAATGCACTGAATAATGAACATCTGAACCAAAACATAATATTTGAATTACTAAAAGAAATTTTTAATTGCTTATTGCAAAATATACACCCACAGAAATGTCAAATATTCTGGTCTGTGTTCTTAAATGTAACAGATATATCTATTGAGAAAACTAAGCATTTCCAACCAACAGTTGAGAGAGAGAAAAGTTTGGTTCTCATGCTGCAGTTATTAAAAATTGTTATTATTCATAAAAATGGAAAGTTTGTTATGGATCCTGCATTACTGATTAGAAAATTGGTACAAATTTTAGATACTTTTGAAAATGAGAATGATGTGTTGCAGGAATCCATAAATGTATCAGTTGCTATTCTTTTGGCAGACAATGTTAAGTTAATGCAAGAAACATCTAGCCAGGTGTTATTCAAAATTATGGCTGTGAAAGATATTAAATTATTATACAAAGCTGTTGAAAGTTTAATACACTATTCATCATTTGAAACATTGGTATTGCCGCATATAATACGACACAGCATTTCCACTAATTTCAATCATGATACTTTACAGTTGTTTAGCAAGATTGTTAAAGTAAAGGCTCTCTTGTGTATCAATGGTATCAGTTTAAATAAATGGACGAATTATATTTTAGATATACGAGGTGCGAAACCTGAAAGTATCAGCTACTTTAAAAAAAAATTAGAAGCTTTGTTGGATGATAATGTATCAACAAATGCATTAAAAATGTTAATTATTTTACCACATTTGAAGCCTTTACCAGAAAAGTTCAGAGACATTCTAAAAAAGGGAATATTATCTCTGTATAAACGAATACTAAATAACACAAATACAGAAAGTGATATGATCAAATTATGTTTGACATTCTTGATAGCTTTGGAATCAGCAATTCACATTTTCGAACCAGAAATTTTGCACAAGTTTCTGGAAATCAACGATATAAAAATATTAGATTTAATTACTAAATATCCTGATAATAAATTTATTTTGAATGCAACAGATTTATGCATAACATATTTTAGTACTTCGGAATACCAAGAAATGTACGTGAATCAAAGTGTGTTTGATAATTTGAAAAATAGTATTGCACAGAAATTGAGTTCACCCTTCGGTGACGTTCGTTTAGTAGTAACACATTTATATTCTTTATTTGCCAATGTTAAAGCAATTAAATCATCCATAATAAACACCGAAACGGTTGAAAAAAGTGTTATGGAACACATGTATTTGGCAGAATCTGAACCTATTACAGTACAAAATTATCGGAGTAGATTACTCCATTTACAAGCATTATCATTCGAAAATAATGCCGTGACAAATTTAGATTTCAAATATTACGAACTTCCGTTACGATATTTACTAGGAAATATGTATATAAATTTTTCTTTACTATGGAATAATGTAAGTCAGATTATAGCTTCATATGCAAACAAACAATGCGAACCATTTTGGCCTATATTCTTGGATGAATTAAAACGTGATCATACAGTAACTCCAGATTATAAGCCATCATTTGAGTGTGAAATTATTTCTGAAATAGAAACTTCAATACAAAAAAGTAATGATAATCCAGACTATGAGAATCACGAAATTCTTCTGTGGAAATGTATGTCCAGTTTTTCGCAATTCTGTGAAACGAAAAACAGAGATATAACAGGATTATTCATTGATTTTGTAAATGACAATTTTTTCAAGACGAATTCTGAAGATGCTAAGTGTTGTAGTATTTTAAAAATGCAAGAAGCGAATACCGATAACGAAATGGAAATTGATGCGCAAAGTGAAGATGATAGTGAATCTGAAGAAAAAGAGGAGAAGGAGGAAAAAGAAACTATATCTCCCATTAGTACAAAATTAAAACAAAAAGAATCTAAACAAGTAACTAAATTTATACTTAGTAGGAATTATAAAGTGAAGCTTTTAATTGCTCAGCTAGAAATATTTGAAAAGATAACAAATCCAAAAACATTGTACAGAGAATCAGAGATGCAAAAAATTTATTTAGATTTACTGTCATCAAAAAATTCTGACATTCAGAAGGGTGCTTTAAATTGTCTTCTGACTTATAAGTACAAATATTTATTACCTTACAAAACCAATTTGCTCGGTTTAATTGATGAAAAAAATTTGAAGACTGAACTGACACGTTTCAAGATTGATCAGGAAAGTAACATGATACAAAACGAACATCGCGAAGAATTGATACCTATACTGATGAGAATAATTTACGCAAAAATGGTTACAAAAATAGGGATGAGGACTGGTGGTAAAGCCGGGGGTGCTGTAAGACGGAAAATGATTTTACGTTTTCTAGCTGGCACTCAAGAGGACGAAATGATTATATTTACGAAAATGGCATTTAAACCTTTTAAGAGGTTCATGTCCCTGGAAATGAATGAGAAAGTTAACTTAAAGCAGCTAACACAGAAGATTATTGATACTGTGGATTTGAGCAATGTTATTCCACCTAAACGTTTGCAAAGTGCTATTAATTTACTTGGAATTTTAATAGAGCAATGTGGTAGCAAAATGGGTCAGAAATTGTTACCATTTTTGCTTCGTTTGGTAATATGCATTCTGGCAGAAGTTACTGGAATTTTACAAAGATCAGATCGAGTTTATGTCGGTTTCTTAACATCTATCAGAAACGTGAGAACAAGCTGCATCTTAATATTAACAAGGTTCTTTAACCACTTTGAAGACTATGCATGGAATGACCACGAAGTGGATGCTTTGTTTAATGTAGCTGTATTTCCACAATTAGAAAAATTACCCATGGAGGGTATTCATAGTCCTACTCCATTATTAAAGCTGATGATGTCGTGGAGCCAAAACTCGCGTTATTATCCATTATTTATAAAATATCGCGATGACGATAAGTCTGTTAGCCCTCTACCATACGTGATGAGACTTTTATTAGGCCCAAAAACTCATGCATCTGTAATTAATGCTATTCTTGAAATGATCCAAAAAATGGTAACATTGCAAGACTATGGAAAGATAAATGAAAATGATATGGAAGTTGATACAGCATTTGTTCCTTTAACACCTATGCTTAATAACTTGCTTGAAATAAACGAGGAAGCCGTATCCAATGGTGTTAATTACGGCTCTACTATACTCCTCCCTCATGTGTTTAGTATTTTAGAATATATTAAAAATAAACTTCAGAAGTCAAACAGGGGGATAAATAAAACAGAATTAGTGATTTTATCACGTATCTCCGAATTTGTGAAAGATGCAGATGCATCTGATGTACTTCTTACACTTACTCTACCAATATTAACTAAAAAGGCAGGAGCTGGAGAAGCAGAAGACACGATTATGGAATTAATTACTACCGTGATAAATCTTACGAAACAAGTTAAAAATCCGATAATTCATATACGCGCAATTTTGCCCTTATTAGGTGTAATAACGACATTACCTGCTCGTAGATTGCTTCTGGAACTGTACAAAATCATCGTTGAAAAATCGTCCGAAGATGATCGCGAGACATTAATGAAAAATTATAATTTACTAAGTGATCTTAATGCATGGGATCGTAGATGGATCGATCAACCAGATTTCCAGAAAAGGTTGGATGCCTTTTCTGAAATTAATAATGCAATAGAAAAGAATGAGATCACTTTAGAGTTTGGCATAGCTATTATTTATAATTGTTATTACTTTCTTAAAAATGAAGGAGATTTAGCATTAAGAGATAATGCAGGACAATGCCTCAAAGTTCTTGGTTGTAAATTGGCAAAAGAACACAAAGGAAGTATAGTGGATAGACGATATTTAATGGATGATACAATTTTGGCTCTGATAAGAAGAGGGATAACTGCTAAGAATGAATTTGTAAAACTTCAGTCAATAGCTTTCTTAGGACACATGGCCATGGAATGTGCAGATGTTCATCCTGTTTTGCGAGATTTGTCGCTATTAACTAACAAAATGGATCCTGAAGTAGATTTCTTTGAAAATATGCAACATTTGCAGCTGCACAGAAGAGCAAGAGCACTGCTTAAATTCTGCAGCATAGTAAAATCATTGAAGAAGACATTGAATCCAAGAACCTTAACACAATTTATTTTTCCTCTTGCTTCTTCATATTTGTGCAATGAAGCTTTTGCACATAAAAACAGCATTGTTGATGCTGCAATAGAAGCAGTTGGAACAGTGTGCAAACTCTTGCCATGGCACCAGTACGAAGTTATATTAAAACATTACTTAGATAAATTAAGGGGCTCTATAGAATTTCAAAAACAACTTGTCAGAATCATTGTCATTATTTTGGATTCTTTTCATTTTAATCTGTCGAAGTATACTCCTATAGAAGGATCTTCAGATTTAAAAGCTATCAAAGAAGTTTCTGAAAAAGAAGCAGTTTCCGATGAAAAGAAAGAAGACGACAAAAACGTTGAGGAAAACATTGATGATAAAAACATTGAACAAGATGTAGGAGAAAAGTTAGACGAAGTTTTAAACTCTGAAAATATAGACAATGTTGCAGAAACTGTAGAAAGTGTTCAAAAGGAGACACAGGAAGAAATACCTGTGGTGGAGAAACAAACAATTCTTTCACAGTACAGAGCACGACGAGTTGTGTTTAGTATATCCAAGCAATTATTACCTCAGCTCCATCGCTCTATTGTAGCAAGAACGAGTCGGGAGAATAGTCACAAAATTAACAAGAAAAGAGTTGCGGCAGATAACGAGGAAGAAGAATTAATGCGAGTCCCAATTGCACTTGCTTTTGTCAAATTATTACAAAAATTACCTGAGCACATTTTAGAGATTAATTTACCAGGGTAAGTATATACATCTATCTTTATATGAAACTAATAAATAATAATTTATTAAAATAATATTACCGATTATTTCAGAATTTTTATGAAGTTATGTACATTCCTGAAATCACGTTTGGACTCAGTACGACGGGTTACTCGCGAAATATTACAAAAAATTATGATAACTTTGGGTCCGAAATATCTTAATCATCTTTTAAGAGAAATGAATACCTTATTGACGAAAGGTTTCCAAGTTCACGTTCTTGCATATACAGTACAAGCAGTGTTAGTTGCTTTGAAACCATATTATCAAAAATTCGATATTAACAACAGTCTTCAAAGTATTTTATCTGTAAGTACTGTTATAAATTTTTTTAAAGTAATAGTTTCACATTTACTGTAATAAATCATGTGCTCTAATTTATTAGGTATGTAAAGTAGATTTATTTGGACTAAGTGCAGAAGAGAAAGAAGTAATAGGAATCGTGAGGAATGTTTCAGAAGCAAAATCCACAAAAAGTTTTGATATTTTTCATATATTGGCAGAATATATTACTGAATCTTGCTTGGTAGATTTGATTATGCCATTAAAAGAAGTGCTCATGAAAACGCACTCGTATAAAACTATACAGAAAGTAGTAGAGTGTTTAAGGAATATAGTATTGGGTTTAGCTGATAATACCTTCATAGCATTGGATCAAATGTTGATATTCCTTTATGGTGTAGTCTCCAAAAGTATTCCCGAATTCATGCCCGAGAAGAACGATAAACAACTTACAGAGAAACAAGTGGAAGTTCTGACTAGATATAAGTCAGATTGTTTCATCATACCTCCAGAACCAAAGAATAAAATGGGTATAAAAGTGGCTTCTAAAACATCAAAGAATACGAATGTCCATGTCATTGTAGAATTCGGTTTAAAACTATTCCATATTTTATTGAAAAGAGACAAAATTTCCAATAAAGAGTTCAAGCCCTTGATAGAACCATTTATACCTCTCATAAGTGAATGCTTAAAGTCTCAACATGTTAAGGTAATTTTATTTCCTTATTATTATAAATAATACTAAAATAATCCATGGTATTATATTTTAAAATTATATTAATTGCTGTTTTAGTTGAGCACTTTGAGTTTGCAATGTTTAAGTTGGTTGCTCAAAATGAATCTATCTTTGGTACAAGAAACAATCTCGGATATCTGTGAATCTATCTTTAGTATATTGCACAAATATGCCGCGGCAAGTTTGAGCAAAGGAGACAATTTTGATCTAGTGATGGCTGGTTTCAAATGTATGTCTGTAATCGTCCGTGATGTGAAAAACTATACAATCACTACAGATCAACTGAAGGCCCTGATCATGTATGCTGAACAAGATATGCACGACACTGACAAACGGGCGACAGCGTTTGGTTTACTTAAAAGTATAATTGCTCGAAAAATGATTCTTCCGGAGATGTATCTAGTCATGGAGAAAGTTGCTGCCTTAAGTGTTACATCTGAACTGGAACATGTTAGATTACAATCACGTTCCGTTTTTTATTCCTACCTGATGGAATATCCTCTTGGCAAACATGTGAATAAGCATGTAGCATTTTATTTGACACAACTTAGCTATGAGATGCAGCCTGGTCGACTCAGTGCTTTGGAAATGCTTCACAGTATTATAACAGGATTTCCATTAGTGAGTACATTTAACTCCCTTGCTCGTTCTCTTTATGTATCAAAGAAAATTAGTAAGTTTATTTAATACTTATAATTTTAGAAAACTTTGATCGCCAAGTCAAGCCTCATATTCATAATGGCGGGTGCACGGTTGATAAATGACGATGATCCAACATGTCGGAAATTGTGCGCCAAATGTATCAAAGAAATGATTACACGTATTCCTCATAATGAAAGGAGTAAACTTTTTGATATAGTCGTAGCATGGTTAAAAGATATTAAAGTAATTACTCAACATTAAATCGTAACGATATACAGTATATTCGGTGCTATTAAATTACTTCATTGCGCATTATTTCAGGTAACGCATCGAACCTTGGCTGCTCAGCTATGTGGTATATTTGTAACAGTGGAAAAAGATACTTTTGAGTCTCGTTTAAAAGAAATACTACCCTTCCTTGTGAAACAATTTCACCCAAGTTTCAACGATGACGACAAACCAGGTCGTTTTGTGAAATTACGTAAGCCAAGAGAAATGCGGGTAGAAATGCATCGTAATATCAAGAATCCAGAGAGAATGAGAGACCACCATATGTTCCAAGTACTGCAACTGTTGCTGAAAGTATCAGCAAATTGTACAGCATTCCTAAAAAATGAAGAACACAAAGAAGCTGTTTGTTCATTTGCTGGTGAGTTTTAATACATCATTATACTATACAATCATTTTCTTAACACTAACAAAATCTTGTATACATTTCAGAATATAGTCAATCCTTATTGGCCCATCCTCACTCATGGGTTCGTCTAGCAGCATCTCAAATGATCGGTTTTATTTTAGCAGCTCTTGACGTTGATAAAATTATATACTTGTTAGAAAATCCAGAAAAATGCGAAACGGAAATCAATTACATTTATCAGGATCCTATCACCACTATAAGATCTTTGACTTTAGATTTAATTGCACAACTACAACCTGACCTGATTTTGGAAGACTTAGCCGATCAAGCTGTTAAAAATTTGATTTTTATCGCACGAATTTTGAAATCTGTAAAGACAATTAATACTAGGACTGCTGATCAAGAAGATGATATTAAACATACGGAAAAAGATCAATTATCCCTTTCTTGGGTGGTTAAAAAACTGAGAAAGGCTGTAAATGTAGAGATAGTTAAAGCTCCCCAATCGATAGTAGTGGTACAGTATACATGATGATAACCATATGTATTTTTGTCTTTTTATTAATGCAAAAGAAGTAATTGGAATATAAATTCGTTTTTAGCGGATTGCTTACTTTAAGTGGGTTGCCGGCGTAGTGGCTACAATATCGATGGAATATTTAAACGTGGCCCTTTTTAATATTATGTCGCCAATTGTACGCGAGATATCGCTTACGGAAGACAAAAATGTCGCTTTAAGACGATTGGCAAAAGAAGCGGCCACGATGATTAAAAAACGTTTAGGCATCGAAGAGTATAATAGATTATTGAGCAAAATACAACAGAAGTTGGATATTAAGAAAGCGGAAAGGAAAAAAATACGTACGCAACAGGTAATCTCTTACGTTATTTTTCTCTTGTGGAATGAATAAGAAAAAATGACTAGCAAGAAATATTGCAATCTTTTTTCCTTGTAGTTTGTAACGGATCCAGAATTGGCTGCTAAACGTAAGATTGCAAAACAGCAAAAAAAGAAAGAAGCCAAAAAAAGAAAATTGGATACCATTAGAGGGAAAAAAGTAATGAAAAAACGTCCTAAAAAAGAAGTTGATTTGGATGTTATATAAACTTCCTAGTTTAAGGAAATTGTCGATGTAAAATAATACGACACATGTTCCGACATGTTGACGGCATTCTTAGAATAATGTAAATTCGATATGCATATGCGATAAGCAAATGATACGTGTATCATACTTTTGTAGATTTACGTACGTGAATATGCACATATGTATGTTTATAATTGTACTTTACTTATATTGTACGAACATTCGTTGTAAAGTAAAATGAAGTAATTTGTAATATAAGGAAAAAATAGTATATGATTGCGCAATGCATGTCGTTATATCTTGAATACCCTTATATTTAAATAAAAAGATATTGAAATATTTAAATTGGTCACATAATTTTGATGTTCCAACAAGTATTCGATTATTCTCGAACTAAAAATTTTAAAATTCAATTTAAATAACTACACGTGAAGATATTCAGATCTATTCCAAGAATTCATTTTTACTTATACCTGTATGAATATTATCTGTCCTTGATCTTTTCTAGGAAGAATCGAGTAAAAATAGTATTTAAATATTAATGAATTACAAGGACAAAAATTATCAATTCTGTGTTGTAAATTAATTTAATTTAACCCCTTATAAACAATATTTTATAGTTTACGATTATTTTCGATTTATTCGATTATTAGATTTTATTCGATTTATTTATTTATACACTGTCTAAGAACAAAATATATTTGCAAAAATGCTTGAAAATCATGCAAAATATAGAAATAAAAAAAAGAAATAACATGATCAATATCAATATGCTTCATATGTCCCGACAATAGGGTTAAAGTAGCGCCAGCACGTAGATGTAATCAGAGGTGAAGATAAACGGTTCACAAGCTACGTAACATTAAGTGTGACTAAATGCACTACGAAAACTTGTCTAACTATATCTCATTGAAGCATCGCCAACTCGGGCCTTTAATTCTCTCACTTTGATATGCTTACAGACAAGGGGCTACCGCTTACTGGTGTTCAGGCTTATCGGAAAAGCCGCGTTATCGGCTGTGGTTAGACATAAGAAGCCGAAACGACGATTGAAACGTGAGATTTGACATATTAGTCGTGAACGAAGAATTCGAGCTGACTGATTTACCGTTCACAGTTATTCTTCATATAACCAATTTAGTTCGAACTGTTTCATTGATTGCTGGAGTATCGACAAGTTAGTTTCCGTGTGCAAGACGCTTCACAATGTTCGCCACCGTGGTACTGTTGTTACTGATGCTGCTTTTACTGTTCGTTTCTGTGGTATTCGAAAACAAAACGAGAAAATATCCACCAGGTAATCCGGAGTTATTTTGAATGTAGACTTCGTGTCACGCTACTCGATCGACATGTGTAGTATCACTGCGTCGATCAATATCGACCCAACGCGAGATCGATTTTCATCCTTAATTTCCCTTATAGGACCATAGAGTTCTGTTCCTAACTTATCTACAAACATTGGAACATCTTTCTATGTTTTCTTTTTAGAATTGACACTGTGTTCGAATATCAGATACTATGTTAGAGACGTAATACACGTGTGCACAATTAACGTGCGACGCATTGTATTGATTGAAAAATTGGTTCAATTATTTATGGCTTTAATATTAATTTTGAATAACGTACAACGTATACTGGGAGAGATAGAAGAATTTATAAAGTAATAAACTAGACAAGCTTTAACGTACGTTACGCGAATGTGAACGGTGATCGGTTTGACTAGGTCAGTTAACTTTAATGGTTTAAATTAGCGCGTCTACTGTGTTTCATTGATTAAAATAATTCTTCTTGAGTTTCGTTCGTCTTGCTTGAATTACTTTCGAAAACTTTCGCTTGTCGTAGAAATTATAATAAATAATCAAAAACAATTCAAAATTCGAATTTCATGTGTTACACGTCGTAGAATTTCGTTTGAAATCGATGTCAGCATTTTTGACACATTTATCGTACGATATTGTTAATGTCTTTATGTTAAAAAGAAACAACAAAAAATTTAAAAAACTGCAAGTATTTAAAAATATCCGCTATTTTTAATATTTCTAATTCAGTTAAAAAAGAAATACTAGATTCGATTAATCGTTTGAAATTTTTTTCGATACTTCCTCGAACGTTCGAACTTATGTCCATTAAGGAAACACCATCATGATTTGCGTTCAAAAATTCAATGATAGATAGCAGAGTATCGTTATACATCAGAACTTTGTTCCTTTTTTCCCACCTTTTTTTTCTAAACTATATTATCTTTTAGGACCGTTCTCATGGCCATTTATTGGCAGCCAGTTTTTATTGAAGCGTCTAAGTCGTGAACTTGGGGGGCAGCATATGGCGTTCTTAGAGCTGTCAAAGCGATACGATAGCGAAGTGATAACCGTAGACATTGGTACTGACAAAGTATTGGTCATTTCCGGAAACAAGCTAATTCAGAATGTAATGAAGAACGAGGAATACGATGGACGTCCTTGGAACGAGTTTATCAAAATTCGAAATATGGGCAAGAAGCAAGGTATACATTATTGCATATCTAAACGATTAGAAAGTATAATTAGCGGAAAACATTTTGTAAATATTTCACGTTCCTGTTGTTTTGAAAAAGAACCGTTTAATGAAACGCGGAATTTGCATCTTGTCCTTCGTTCCAGTTTTCCTTCCACGATGTATGTCATCGTGTTACTGTCATTTTGCATAGGTATCATTTTCAAGAACATTTATATCAATTTTAACACGTTGTAATACTTTTTAATATAGATAAGTTGTGATTTACATACGAACCGATATTTTCATCTTATCTCTCTTCTTTTTTTTCTTTCTTTTACTAACGAACAGGAATCACGATGAATGACGGATCGGAATGGAAGGAATTACGTGGTTGGATGGTGCGAACGATGAGGATATTCGGCTTTGGGAAACGCGAGATGTCGGAGATGATCAAGAATGAATTGGTCGTGCTGCAGGAGAATTTGAAGAAAGGGGGTGTACGAAAATTAAAACCATTGATCACACCGGCTGTGGTAAATGTCCTCTGGAACGTGGCGACTGGAAAGCCATTCTGCGAGGACGACAAGTACATACTCTACATACATATACACGTCTCTCGTTCGATTTCTCTGCTTTGAGGAGCACAGTTTTCACGTATTTGGTCTTCGATGCGTGCGAACGGCTGGTTGAACTTGGAATCGTTTATACGCTCCCTTGAATTTCTTCTTTTTTCTTCTTCTTCGTTATACAGAGTGTTACAAAAAAAAAAAGGGTCATAGAATTTAGAAGTTTATAATACTCACCGAGAGGAGTAAAAAATTCTTAGTCAACATAATCCTAAAATGTATCATTTCGATGTAAAGATTACTTTCGGATTTACGAGCGTTCGATTATCACTGAGATCAAGAAAGATTATTTTTTTGAAGAGATTCACTTCAGATTATCGAACACTTGTAATTACCAAAGTATTTTGGGATCTGTGTCGATTAACATAGTGCTATAAGCGCTATTTAAAGTCTTAGATCCTTTTTTTTTTTAACTCTCCGTATAGGGTAACATTTTTTTATATTCTAGATTTATAGCGCCGCTCTTACGGATTTGAAAGATATTACAGACAAAGGGGACTTGGGGTAAAATTTAACAGACGTTAGATAAAATATTACGTAGTATAACACTTTCTTTCCCTTTTTTCTCTGGAGAAAAGCGAGTATAGTTGATCGTTTGTAAGTAAAGAGGCGGTAAATCGGAAACAGAAGGTAACGATCCATAGCGAGAGTTTAGATGCGAGTCGCAAAGTGGGACACGTATTCGATCGTGATTGTTTATTGTCTCTTAAACGTCTCCCCGTAGGTTGCAGTATTTTTCCGACTTGATGGAACGTCGCGCGCAAGTCTTCGACATGCTCGGCGGGCTTCTCACCACTTTCCCTTGGATCCGTTACGTTGCACCTGTGGCCTCAGGGTACAACCTTCTCCTCACGCTGAACAACGAGCTCAAGGCGTTCTTATTGGTGCGTCTGTTATGTAAATCAATTATGATTTTATATTTATTAAACACGCTGTTACACGTGTGTGATGATTCTTCTTCTCTTTTTCTACGCAGGACACCATCGAGGAACACCGAAAGAATTACAAGCCAGGCTGCGAGGCGGACGTAATTGATATGTTCCTACACGAAATGATCAATAACGAAGATGCCGGCGGCATTTTCACTGGTACAATTTCAAGATTTACAATCTGTTTCATTTGTAACTTCGGGAATGTTCCATTTCGTCAGAAATCTTTTGTATTGTTAAATTATCGTAAAATTAGTTACCTTTGACATTCTTTGTTAAAAGTCGACGATGACGAATTTCAAGTTCTCTTCAGGTTCTAAGATTACTCATGTTACCCCCTCTTACCCTGCCTGCTGAGCTGGCGTGTTAATGGAAGCATCTGCGAAGAGAAAGCGTTTTCACAAGAAGTTGTCGCGTGCAACCCTGCCGTACGTGTAAATTCTCCGTCTCGTTCAATGGATTTTTTCCTTTCTTTCAGTTGATCAATTAGTGATTTTGCTGCTCGATCTCTTCATCGCCGGTTGCACCACCACGGGCATAACCTTGGACTTCCTGTTTATGCATATGGCGGTACACCAGGAGGTGCAACGCAAGTTGCAACAGGAAATCGACTCGGTGATCCCGCGTGACAGGCTTCCCGATTTAGCAGACAGGACGAAGTAATCGAATAAATTATGTTTATGGTTTAACATAGTTAGTTGTACCAAACAAGTGGTACACGGTAATTTTTGAAAATGGAACTTTCGTTAAATGAAAAAAAGTTGAATCTTTAAGTTAAAAATTCAAGGTTAAATTCAGAGCTATTCAGAGATCCTAAGATTATTCATAGAATCTTTTATTTTGCGTGGGAGAGTAAAAGCGAACGTACGAAGGAGAGATCAGAGAAATGCAGCACACGGGAAAACCGAAATTCTTTATTGTTGCAGGCTTCCATACGCAGAGGCTATAATATTCGAGTCGCAACGAATGTGCCCTGTATTTCCTATATTGGGCCCGCGACGAGTTCTTCGAGAGACGAATCTCGACAAGTACACGATACCAAAGAACGCCACTATTCTAATGAACACGTACTCCATCACCAGTGACCCTAATATCTATCCAGAACCGAACAAGTTCAAGCCTGAAAGATTCATAAAGAACGGAGCCTTTGAACCTGACACGTATTCCTTGAGTTTTGGAAAAGGTACAAAGTATATGTAGAACAGAAAGAAGAAGAAACTTTCTGCTGTTCTAAAATCGTAGAAATTTCGCGAGATATGTAGCCCGTGAGAGCGTTACTTCATCGAGACGCGACAATGCACAAGAATGTAAATAAAACGATGTTACTGTTCACGTTCGTTTCCGGATGTCTCTAGGAAAGTTGGAAGTACAGTATGCAACAAAATTTCTCGGACTCTGAGTTTAATTATCGCGGTGAAATGGAAGACGGTAAAAGGGAAAGTGTGATACCTTCATTTGGCAAACCAAATAAGCGACGTCAAATATTTAAAATATTCAAAGTAAAAAAAGAAGTTAATATGTAAATCAAACGTTTATGCAATCTGAGTCCAGGAACTTTTGTTATATACTGTATCTTTCACGCGAATGAATAATGAATACTCGTCTCCGGTTAATTAGTACAGTCATCGTGAGGGAGATTTCAGTTGCGTAGGAATTTAAAAAAACAAAAGAAAAAATGGAAACATGTGATCCTCCACATTTTCTTCTAAAATTTTTTTTGCTTTGTTATGCTTTCTGTATTTTTAATTGTCGGAATGTTGTTCGTTTTCTCAGGAAAAAGGCGCTGTCCAGGCGAAGCGTTGGCAAAAGCAGCGATGTTCATCTTGTTCATCGGAGTGATGCAAAAGTTCACCGTGCTTCCTGTTCCTGGCAAAGGACCAAAAGCTGTGGAAACTATACCCGGACTGACGATCTCACCTAAACCTTACAAAGTTCTAGTCGTTCCACGATAGTTCCTCTCTTGTAGAATAACCGATCCTCGTTTACGTTGTATATTTGATTTGCGCGTCTAACGAGCGGATCTGCCTACGCTTATTATTAAGTTGCGTGTGATTAAGACAGGAAACACGTTTATCCTCGTAGAAATTTGTATATTAATAGAATGGTTCCGTTCGTGGTATACGAAAGGAACGTTAATTGGCCGTTCTGAGGGAAACAGACAATAAAGATGAAACGAAGTGAATAATGTATTCCTTGCGTTTATTTCCGACACATACAGCAACGGGACGAACTTTTATTTGCTCGACTGTTGACAACGACGTTACCGGTGTACATACGCGTCTCACGCGTCTCGAAGTACATATGTAGTAGCTTCGCGTTACGCGGATAGACACCGGTTTGTTTGACTTCAACAAATTCTCCCGCCAAACACCCCGTATTATCGTTTATTGTTTCTGCCGCGTGAAAGTCGCTTTACGCGTCGTTTTACGCGTTCGACGAAATCGGCTCGTTTCGTAGAAGTCCAAATGTACCTTGAGGCTCGCGCGCACGTGGCGATTCGGTCCTTTTATATCGAGCTTTCTCGACTTCTCTCTGACGTAGACGAATTCCCTTATCGCTGGAAAATAGATCGTGCAAATGTTGTGAACGAAATTCTCGAAGAAATGTGACAATTCCAAGAGAATATTTTTTGCTTCGATATTCTTTATCGTGAAATGTAAAAATAAGTAACAGGTCGAAGAATTATATTGAAAAGCGACATTTAGCAAACGTATTGTTTCATTAAGTGTACACGCAACCGCTTTTAAAGTAAATTTATCTCGAAACACAATCTTCTTCGTTAGGAGCACGTTTATCGCTTAATTGTCGCGTGTAACAGCTGCAATTTATTTTTGCACAATTGTGCAGTTTTACATTTTTCTAACGTATTCCGAAGGAAGTTGTTTAGAGTGTCGTTAGATACGTTCAATAATAATTAAGCGAACAGATACGGAAAGATTTACTTGCGCGGTGATTAAGATTAAGAACAGCAATGTGTATAATTTGTGATACAGCGAGTCGTGTAAATTATATATGCAAACCGTGTTTACGTCGCGGATCGATTGTACACCGATCAGGTGTAAATTTTCGTTGGAAAATTTTTCGTTCTCTACTTACGACTTTTTTTTTGTCGAAATTGTTCACGTTACATTTACATCGTGCTGCGGTTTTATACGACGTCAGACCTCGTTGCGAGCTTCAGATAAAACGGTTTTGGAGATATAGTGAAACCATCGTAGCCATTTATGTCCGGCGGGCCGTGCTCTGGTGAAATTTCCACGTCGAAGTAATGTACAACGTAGGCGAGGAATAAGAATAAGGATTTCCGGGCCAGCATTTCTCCTGGGCAACGTCTCTTGCCTAGAAACGGTCATCGTTAATTCCACCAAACGTTTCAACTATGTAAAAACCTCCGCGAGATATTTTCCACGGAATTTCTATTTAAATCACCATCCGTCCACCGTCACATCGACGAGTCACGCTCGCTTCGAACCTTTCGTTTCATCTCGTGAATTATTCCACGATTGAGTACATTTTTTCATTTATTATTCACGCGTGTATTTTTCTAATTATTATTCACTATCATTCTTTTAAACGGAACGATACCTTTCTCGTGGCTATCTCGTTAAAGTTGAGGAAAAAACCGAGTTCAACCGTATCTATGCCTCACGTTGACCTTGAAATGACAAACTACGATTCTTTGCAGATTTCAAGGTCATTTCAAGGTCAACATGACATACGTGGTTAAAGTAATTTTTTCGTGAATTTTTTTTGAAAAAATTGTTTAAAATTAAATTGAATAAATTTGACAAAATTATAATATTTTCTACTTTATCTTTAAATTTATATTTTCTCTTAAAAGTAAAACTAATCGGTTACGCTGATAACGTGGATAAATAGACTGACCTAAACCGAATGGCATACTCGCGTTGTTCGGACAGAATCGACCGTTATCATTGAGAAATCGTTGCGGCCGAAATTCTTCCGGGTGATCCCAATGCGTTGGATCGTTATGCACGCTGTGGAAATCCAGAAGAACGATCGTGTCCTAAAATCACACGATAATATTCTTAACAATTAATATTCAATGCTTATCGTCGAGAATACCACATATATGCCACACTTGCCTTTGGTATACTGTATTCGTTCAGAGTTATCGCTTTCATGGTTTTGTGAGGTACTCCAAGCGGTGCCAGGATCAGGAATCTTTGTACCTGTTTTGAACAATTCAGCCGTTTAACGGAAAAGTGGCGTAAGTGAATTTTTCGCCTATTTGATTTTTCAGTAATCATCAGCTGAAGCAACGTCGGATACAAGGAAGAACAGTGGAGATAATGAATCGTCTGTCTGTAGCGATCGAAGCAGTTGTAGAAATTTTCAACGGAACTACGATAATGAAAGTAATCGAAGCTACTGCTGATGAATAATTTAAACAATCAATTACTTCCGCAAGAAACGCCTCCATCATCGGTAACGACGAGTAATCCTTCAAAGTCGGAGACCTCGATCTGCCAACCACGTTATCGAGCTCCTCCTGAAGTATCTTCATCCATTCAGAGTGCAAAGATAAAAATAACAAAGTAGTCGCTAAAGTATCCGTCGTGGTTTTCGAGCCGGCCAAGAACAGATCCAGGCATAAGACCAACAAATTCTCCCCTGAAAAAGAAAATCACACCAACTTTCGTCTAACAGAAATAGGATTTTTTAAATTTGCAGAAAAAACGTTACCGACTGTCGAAAATGGTGCGATCGCGTTCGCCATTTATCGACGAGATCTCCAAGAGAAACGCATCGATCAGGTCCTGCGGTTGGTTCCCCGACAATTGTTTCTCGTGAACGCTGATCTCCTCGTCTAAGAAATTCCAGAGCTTCTGAAGGATCCTCATTAATTCGTTGTAACCGGATAATTCTGGTATTATGAAGCGTAGAAATGGCATTTGCGAAACAATGCCGCCCATTGTGTCCATCAATCTATGGGAACAGGAAGTGTACACGAACGTGCTTGCGCAAAGATTGTAAACGTGTGTTCATGCTCGTGTATTTTACACGCTGTCGATTGTAATTTGGTTATTCCAACGTTGGAAAATTGTGAGGTAACATTTGTTGCGAATTAATTTACCTGAAAGCGTCGTGGACTACTTCAAGGATTTCGATCAATTTGTCGTTCTCGTAGTCGAACCTGTGACCGGCGAACATGCACCAGAGGGAGTTTAAAACTGCGATGTCGAAGGTGGTGTGAATTGGTACAGGACCATTTGCACTCGCACGACGAAGATAATTCACGAGATTTTCAGCCTCGACTGTTAGCTGCTTCTCCATGGTAGACTGGCCTAATCCAAAGGTTTTGAGATGGCGCATTGTGAAACGGCGACACTGGGACCATGTTGGTCCCTCCGTGAACAGAAGGCCTATCGATCGAGAAAGAATTTGTCGATTAGAATATGTAGGAACCGACAACGGAAAAAAATATTTTTTGGGTTATAGACCCCCAACGGGAATCGAACCCGGCACCTTCGGCTTACCAAGCCGAGACTTTGCGCGTTATACTAACCACCCCCTCCCTATTCTCCCTTGTCGGTTTCCTATTTGGGCATGGAGGCCCCGATACTACAAATATATCAATGGTAATTAAATGGTGGAGATAAAAAGAATTCTGACACTTTTAAGCGGGGTTTGGAGGTTTTCGTGGATTTAAATTGTTCGAATTTTGGCTTAAATCTGAAATTTTCAAGCGACGTCTTCAAATGCATTTGGAAATTTTCTTTTAAGCGGGGTTTGGAGGCTCTCAGATTAAAATTGTTCGAATTATGACTTAAATTGAAAATTTTGAAATTGGAAATATTTTCACGAGTTTTTAAGAGTGAAAAATATTAAATACCTTTTCTTTTGCCGAACGCGCGGACTCTGAAGAAGAATCCATCCGGTCTGCCGTTGAAGTCATCCTGAAGAAGCACTTTCTTCGCTAGATCGTGCGTGGAAACAACGACAACCTTCTGATTTCCCAATTTCACTCCCAAAATCGGTCCGTAAGTTTTCATAAGTTCTTGAAACGCTATGTAAGCGTATCCGTGCTTCAGTTTCAATCGTCGAAACGTTGGGAAGCAGCCGATCAGCGGCAGCCATTTTGGACCTACCCAAATGTTCGGTAAAATATGAATACTTCGAAGAAACCAAAAGAATTACCGCTCTATTTTTATTCTATTTTAATTTTTCAAGAAATTATAATCTGCACTTCGTCGAATCGATTCGAAGTTTAATTAATCTTCGAATATTTCCGCAGAATGTTACAATGTCGATAGTTATTAATTGTAAAAGAAATTTGTGACGAAGGAAATTCTTGAAATTAGCATTTCTTCACTGTGTTAAGTTACGAATTCACTGTGCACCAACCAGGAGGGAAATTGGACGGTTTGATGCAATCGTAGACGCAAAAGACACAGAAGAGCAAGATTAGGAGGACGATGGTCGCGTAGAACATCTTGGAATGCACTGATACTTCACTTGGTGACTTCGAATGCGGTTACTATACCAAGCATATATACATATGGTAATAAAAACGATTCTGACGGCACTCTGTGATATTATCGGCTTGACACCCATGGCCTCTGACGAAAATATCTTCTTGTGTCAGACATCCTTTTCATGGTGTCTCTCCCCGCTTCCAGTCCCGTCTACAGAAGTTCCGTCCATTTTTTTTCTTTTCTTCTTCTTCTTCAAACTTCATTTAGGAGTGAATTCAGTTCAACCTGGCAATCGTTGTATTTTACGTAACAGCAGGAAAGAAATTATTTTGGGCGAAAGTGCTCTGCGCTTTCGTTTAGGGAAAACAGTTCGAAGATCATTTTATATACTTTTTCAAATTTTTAATTTAAATTGGATTTAATTCTGGAATTCAAGAGCTTTTTGTCGAATTTGATATTTCTTAAAACGCTATTTCATTATCTAAGGGGTACGGTGACCGAGAAGAAAGGTTTTCTCGTTTCTAAGTGTGAATTTTTCTATAGAATCTCACGCAAGAATATGAATAGCATTTCACGGGTTAATCGCGTACGAATTTTTAATAACCGCTCTGTTTGGTCGTTCATTTACATGCAAGCATCCAGAGAAGCGTACTTCAGTTTCGAATACGAGGAATACGCGAGATCAACGTCCTCCGGTAGAAGAAGAGTAGAAATTTGGTTTCTCCGAAATTGGAGTTCCGGCTCGAGGAATAATTACCGTGTTAAAAAAAATTGAAAGCAAAATAGAACGGTACCTATTTTCGTCGATTTTTGAAATACGTAATATAGCAAAAAGTAAATATAAAAAAAACGAAAAAACGATCGTTTCATTCATTCACGTTGGAACAAGTTGTAAGGAAAATAAGATAATCGTTCTTTTTTTTTTTTCAAATTCTGAGATGTTTTACGTAGTGAAAGATAAGTATTAAAAAAAAAAAAATGAAGAAAGGATTGTTCTGTTCGTTTGAAATTCGATCCATTGTTATGTTTAAAGACAACGCGTTTTATCAGATCAAACGAGCCGCTCGCCAGTCAGTTTATCGTTGCACCTTGCAAAAAAGCGCGAGCCAGGAAGGAGTCGCGATAAGAAGTGCACTTTCGAAGCTGTCGCGGAATTATTTCCTGGGTGAACGGGCTAATTGGAGCCAAACTGACCGAACTGGTTTCTGCTGTTCTGCAAGCCACGGTGAAATGCGAGACGAACCTCGTAGGTTCAGGTGCTTCTGTTAATTACCGCTGCATTCATAACGTGGAGGAGTAACGATGAGAAACTTTCGATACGCCCACTATCGTTGAATCTTTCGTTTTTGGAAAATTTTGTAAAGCGTCTTTGACCTTTGCAATTTTTTTTAAGAAGAAGAGAGCTAAATGTGGAATTTTTTATTTTGGAAAATTTTGTAAAGCGTCTTTGACCTTTGCAATTTTTTTCTTAAGAAAATGAAGCTAACAGTGGAATTTTTTCTTTCGGAAAATTGTAGAAATCGTCTTTAACCTTTCCAATTTTTTTTCTTTAAATACAAAGAAAAGGTCGAAAATTTATTTATCCATTTTACAAGACACACTCGTTAAAATACAGAATCGAGTAGAAAAAATGTCTAAAGTACTTCCGAAAGTTGAAGCAGTTAATGAGACGTTCAGATAAACAGCCAATAAAATACACGAAAAGTGAAAAGCTGTATTACAAAAAAAAAAAAAGAAGAAATTTACTTGCAAAATTATAATTATCAAAGATACATCGTGGAAAGTGTTTGTCGATGCTAGTCGACTTAATAAAACTCGTTTAATATATCTCTTCATTCAGCGTTACGACGGCACGAGACGCTTTATTCTCATTTTTTTTTAAGGTAATCGTTTACATATGTATTAACGCACACGTGCTCGAGTACTTTAAAACAAGCATAAGCGACGTCATGTGCTTGGACACATATGTTTTGTCAGCAATGTTTGCGGACACGAGTCACTGAAGTAGCAGCTATAAACACTTTTTCTTAAAGACCACTTTACATGTGTTTTCAATTTTACCTTTCTTCTTTCTTCTTTTTAATTCTCACACGCAGAACGAATTCTTACGGAGTTAGTTGAATTATCGCCGCTTTCTAACGTCACGAAATATTACACAATTACCGTAAGAAAATTGGCTACGATCAATTTCGGCTTCGCCGTCATTAAATTCCCATAAACTCGCCTCGATCCGTAATTCAAGCTATCACAGAAGCTATTCAGAAGCTAAACTAATCATTCGTTGTTTTCAACGTGTGTATAGGGGAGAGTCGTGCAGTACCCGGCCACTCTAAGTTTTTGTACTATAACTTGGGCTAATGTTGGTAAAAATGAAATTTCAAAAAAGTAATTTGTAGTACAAAGGGGACAAATGGTTTTTCTTAAATTTTCTCATAAAGATAAGTAATTCGTAGAAATAGAAAAGTTGTAATTTGCAGCGAACGAAAAATTGTCGTGCAGTACCGGCCAGCTAATTACTTGGTAGATTTTGAGGTCTAAGTGATAAATAATGTTGGTAAAAATCATTTAAAGCGATCGATATTTTCTTGATCCGTACACTCCACGTGAGCCCAACCATTGCATCTATGAAAAATAACTTTCGGAACACCGGCGTAAACGTTAAACGTCTTAGAACTCCGGTAATACTGAAGAAAAAGAACGTCGCCGGAATACGTTGCTCAGGGCTATAGTATTCATTTGTTTTTCCACCAATAGTGCAGTCAACTAACAGTATAAGCGAGATCTAGATTTGGCCGGTACTGCACGACTCTCCCCTAATTCGTCTAATACCGTGATCAGTTCATCGTGGGTATGTAAAATCGATCGTTATCGCGGTAATAGTCTTCCATTGAACGTGCCAGATTTCCATTTGACTGCAGCCTCGTGAACAAGAAGAATTTTCTTGAGGAGATACGACCTTCGGCGTTGACAATTCCGTCCTCTGGAAAATATTCCAAACGGCGGAAAAGAGTGTCACACGACACGGAAACAATCTGCATAAAAAATACAGTGGGGTCAATGGAAAAGAGAACGATACGGTTTATGTTAAAATACAGCAGAATGTTTGTTGCATCTTTTAAGAGATATACCGCTCATACGGTGAAATAAATTTTGTTTCGACAAAAGTTGGAAAATTTTCTTGAGTTTTATTTTGAAATGTAATTTATGCGGTGAAATAGTTTAGGATAAAAATTGGACAATTTTCGAGATGGAGGACATTGAACGATCTTCTTCAATTTTATTTTGAAATCCAAGTTATTTATTTGAAAACCTAAAGGAAGTTTCTTACGTCTCTTTAAGCCGACCTAAGAATCACCATATTTAAAAAAATCAATCATTCACGTTGCAAAGTATTTTTCTTAAAAATTAGAAAATATTCGAAAGGACACTAAAGAATCCACTTTATCTTCCTTCGAGATCCAACCGATCGACGTCGAAGCCTGAAGAAAGTCTCTCGCAAAGAGTCTCCCCAAGCGTACTTAAAAAATCTCCATCCTTGAAAGAAAAAACAAAATCGATCATTCATCGAGTAAGATAAAAAGGAAGAATCCCGGAGAAATCATCTTCCAAATTTTCCACGGACGTCTCGACGAGGGGAGCCATTTGCTGACGCAAATGATGATGAAAGAACGAGGAGAAAGACAGCCGCGGAGAGGAGAGGAAAGTGAAAACGAAGGTAGAGCTGGTCGACGTGAAGATCGATTAGAAAATACGCGTACGACATTTCTCCGTCTTCTTTTCCCTTTTCTTTTCGTCCAGCGGAGACACGCGCGATGAAAAGTCTGACCCCTGACAGAGAGCGAGGCAAAGTTTCTCTGCTCGATGCACACGACGACTTACTACGGCCAGGTTGGATAAAGCAGAGACACGAATTAATTTATGCTGCTTTGAAACGTCGTGTGTGTACACGCGTGTCTGTGGTCGTTTGTGTGGGTGCACGGATGCTTTCTCCACGGTCGAGGTCTCCCATATACAACGGCGGCTCGACTTCCTTCCATAACAGAGATCTCCCGACTTTCTCTGGTTTCGCGTGGCCACGTTGCGTCATGTTTAGCGTGGGCCACCGAATGACTCGGTGAAATAGTAATTCCGAGGTGTTAACGAAATATTGCCGGGATTTGACACCTCTGGATTAGAGTTTGCTAGGAGAGTAATGGAGGAAGGATTAAGGAACGGGGAAAGTGGCGATTGTGGGATGCCGAGGAAGAAGTTTCTCGTGGATCCGAGTATTGTTGAATTTTAAGCTGTCTGTTTTCGGGGGATACTCTAATTTTTCGGGAATTGTCAAATTTCTTATCAAAGAGAAGATAAATGATTGTAAAAAGGGTAGACTTAAGAATGAGGGAAAATTGTGATTGCGAGATGTCGAGGAAGTTTCTGTGGATCTAATTTTTACAGAATCTTAAGAGCATTCCAAGTGTAAAATTTCGACTGTAACGAGGGTAAATCGAAGAATGAGGAAAAATGGCGATTGTAGGACACTAAGGAAGAAGTTTCTGTAGATCCAAGTAGAATTTTGAAGTCCTCCATTTTCTGGGATATTCTAATTTTCAAAGAATTGTAAAATCTCCTATCCAAAGTGCAGAGAAATTGTTACAATGAGGCTGAATGAAAGAACGAAGAAAAATAGCGATCATGGTACACCGAGGAAGATCTTCCTGGCTTCTGATATTCCAATTTAGACCGTACTCGATGAAAAAAGCAAGAAATATCTGAAATAACAACACCACTGTTCTAACAAAATATTAATCAACTTTATTCGTAACGGCATCGGTTAACAAAATGAAGGTAACAACGTCGGGTAAAAAAAAAAGAAAAAGAGAAGAAGGAAGGTGGAAATATACATACATAAGGATAAAACACGTTTGAGTCCGGACCGTGTCAGTCGATTAATCCTCCGAGAACTTAGCTAACTAGAGGACTTATACCTAACGTAAAACTAGAATAATATATACAGCGGCTTATGATACAATACTTTCTGGAATAAGCTTTGTACAAGCAATCTGCTCAGTGCTTGGGAAACGCGAAATTCGCTGCTAGACCACTCTGATTATTCGACGCTGGAGGTGGCGTTAGATCCTGACTGATCGACGGAACCTCCGCCTTCGACGATCTATCCCACCTGACCTTGTTCTCATCGACCTGTTGCTGCTTCGTCGCGGCCTCAGGACTGTAAGGGACCACCTGAGATCCTCGAGCCTGCGTGTCCTTTCGATCCTCCCATCCGTGATGATGAGGATGATGATCCTCCGAGGGGAACCATTCCGATATCCATACCGGTTTCCAGATCTTCTTCCAAGCTGGAACCCAAATTTCCTTCCAAGCCGGCACCCAGATCTGTTTCCACGCCTCTTTCCACGCTAACTTCTTATCCTGTACCCATTCCAATTTCTTATCGGTCTTCCATATCTGTTTCCACGCCTCTTTCCATTCCAGTTTCTTATCAGGCACCCAGATTAGCTTCTTGGACGGCTTCCATATCTGTTTCCATTCGTCCTTCCAAATCAACTTCTTGTCGTCCACCCAGATCTGTTTCTTAGCTGGTTTCCAAATCTGCTTCCAAGCTTCCACCCATTCCAGCTTCTTATCGGGTACCCAGATCTGTTTCTTCGCAGGTTTCCAGTATTTCTTCCACAGAGGCTTCCAGATCAGCTTCTTCTTCCAGAGATCGTGGCTGGTGTATTGCCAACCGTGATGATCCGTGCCATGGTAATGTTCTCCTGGAATACCAACCTTCACCCATTCAGGGATCCAGAGTTTCTTCCAAGCTGGTACTTGGAACTCCTTCCAAACTGGCACCTGGATCTCCTTCCAGACAGGCTTCCAGATCTTCTTCCAAGCTGGTACCTGGATCTCCTTCCAAGCTGGAACCTTGATAGGCTTCCAGACAGGTTTCCAAATTTTCTTCCACGCTGGTACTTGAATGTCCTTCCACACTGGGACTTTTATCTCCTTCCACACAGGCTTCCAAATCTTCTTCCAGGCTGGTACCTGGATGTCCTTCCACACTGCCTTCTGCGTCGGTACCCACACTGGCTTCCAGATCTTCTTCCAGGCGGGCTTCCAGATCTGTTTCTTCGCCGGTTTCCAGATCTTCTTCCAGCCAGGCTTCCAGATGAGCTTCTTCTTCCAGTAACCCTTGTCGTGATGGTCGTGATGGTCGTGATGGTCGTCGTGGTGCCCTTCGAGCGCTGCACCACCGCCACCGCCGCCAGAATGGCCGAAGCCAGCGCCGATGTCACCTCCACCGGAGTGGCCATAGCCACCCCCGATGTCACCTCCACCGGAGTGGCCATAGCCACCCCCGATGTCACCTCCACCGGAGTGGCCATAGCCACCCCCGATGTCACCTCCACCGGAGTGGCCATAGCCACCCCCGATGTCACCTCCACCGGAGTGGCCATAGCCACCCCCGATGTCACCTCCACCGGAGTGGCCATAGCCACCCCCGATGTCACCTCCACCGGAGTGGCCATAGCCACCCCCGATGTCACCTCCACCGGAGTGGCCATAGCCACCCCCGATGTCACCTCCACCGGAGTGGCCATAGCCACCCCCGATGTCACCTCCACCGGAGTGGCCATAGCCACCCCCGATGTCACCTCCACCGGAGTGGCCATAGCCACCCCCGATGTCACCTCCACCGGAGTGGCCATAGCCACCCCCGATGTCACCTCCACCGGAGTGTGGCTGCTCCTCCGGAATGGCCAAAGCCACCACCTAAGTCTCCTCCGTGGCCACCTAGGTCACCGCCAAGGCCAGCGCCCAGGTCGCCGCCGTGACCTCCCAAGTCACCACCCCATCTCTTCTGTGCCGCTGTGCCATATCTGGGGAGAAATTGCGAGGCTTGGAGAAATGAAGCTTTTGGTAATGTGGTGGAAGAGTTGAATATTGTATCATTGGAATTACGAGAGAAAGGATTAAAATACGAAGAGAAACTTGGAAAAGGGAATTTTCGAATTTTTTCATAGTGGAAGAGTTCAGTCTTTTAGGATTAGAGTGCAACAGGAATATTGTGCAACTGGAATTATTAAAAAATTGAGACAAATTTGAAAAAAGGAATGTTGGAATTTATTAGCATTGAATTGGAAGGGTTGAGTCTTCGAGGAATATGGTGCAATTGGAATTATTTAAAAAATGAAGAAAACTTTGGAAAAAGGAATTTTCGTATTGATTAGAATTGAATTGGAAGGGTTGAATCTTTGGTAATTTGACGAAGAGGGAATTAGAATCAATTGGAATACCATAAAATCTAAATTACGAAAAAGGGGGGAAAAAATTAATTTCAACAAAATTTTGATCGGTCTTCGTCCAATAGAATCATCTGAGATACACTCACGGAACTTGTTGCTGAGACTTTTGTTGCTGTAGCTGATTCTGGTCCACCGCCTTGCTCGTCACAAGAGCGACTTGCAGTAACACTACCAGTGCAGCCTGTAACGAACGTAATTGCATGGATATTACAGGAATTTCACTGTCGATGAACGTTAGCTGGTTAATGTCCCCTATCTATTTCCTGTCTTCGACTTCTAAAGCCGCAGGTTTAATCGCACATCCTTTAGATCTTGATCAGAGAACGGCCAGCTCGCGTACGTGACACGGAGAAATCTCGTTTTTTTTTTATGGCAACGTTCCAGACATGACTTTTAACGGCTGTTCGTTTATGGAACATCACTTTCGAAACTCGTCGCCGATCGATAATCAAGTAACACGTTCGCCGACAAATAGCGACCGCTGCGGCCTTATGGTTCCGGTTCTGGTCAACTGTTGTTCTCGAACTGATACGTATTCGTCGCTGTTGAGGAATGGAATTACAACTGTGGAACGTTTTAAAATTCCGACATATTGAAAAAAATTAAAATTCGACTCAGTTCCAATAATTATTCGTAGAGAATATATTAAAAATGATCGTGCCTGTCGTCTTCAACATTTTCTGCAACCTAACATCTATCAAATTCTCGTCAAATTTAAGCGAACTTTATATTCTACGATTATTCGCAAATATTGAAAATTTTCTGCGATCTCAATCGTTGATTCCAACATCTATCCAATTTTCGTCAAATTCGAATCAATTTTATATTCTGCAATTGTTAAAAATTTTTTATCATTTTCTGCAATCTAATATTTATCAAATTCTCGTCAAATTTAAACGACCTTCATATTCCACAATCATTACAAACTTTCCACCAAATCCTCACAGAATCTCTAACAAACGTTTTCTATCAAAAGATCGAAAGCACCAATTATCGACCCAATCGTCAATTGACAATCAAACTTACCCCTTCGACAATCTCAACAACAGATCACCATTCGTTCTCACTTACCACTTGCCCCATAACGTACCTCCCAAAAACCAAAAAACCGCGAACTAAATGCACCCTTGAAATCGTTCGAGAACAATCAGCTTATCAAAAAAAAAAAATACTCTTTAAAACCGTCGCGAATAACGAATTTACATAAAATCGAAGATCAATGCAAAATTGAGAAGAAAAGTAGAAGAAAAGAAATGAAAAGAAGCAAAACTGACCGCGCATCCCGGGCGAATCCTCATATTTCTCGCAATGCCGCCCGTTGGGCTCGGGCCGCGTACTCTTGTTCCCTAAGTGCAGGAAAACGTAAGTTACTTCGTCCAATCAGCGGAACGCCGTAGTTATATAGGCGCGTATTCTCCCCCAGTGCCATCGTCGGAGGTGGCTCGTGGTGTGTCCGGGCCAGGTGGCGAAGGTGGTGGTAAAATCTGTCTTGGTGGAGGAGGTAGTCCGCACAGGACGGCGATGGTGGTGGGCCCGAACGGGCCCGCGTTACGGAAAGCCCCGTAACTCGACTGGCTAGCGATGGGACCGATCTCGTTGCTCGCTTTTTTCTTCTTTTTCTTCTTTTGCCTCGAGGACTAGACAAACCTGCTGGATAAAAATATTCTTACGCGTGTACTTGTAAGGTGTTTCTAGCTTACTTTCCCGGATTTTTGTTCCAGATGAAAACATTTCATCTTTTTACCGTTCTTTTTTCTTCGTCTCTACTCCGCGTGCTTGGAAGTTGTTCTTGGAGGAGGGAGAAATGTTCTACGGTCAATTTAGCGGGGTTTTTAATTCATTCTTGTGGGGATTGTTTATTGTTTTCTGTTTGCTGACTTTTGCTTCGAGAATTGTTCATTTTTTCTTTCGTTTCGGTAGTGAATTTTCGGCAGATTTACCCGGTTTTTATCGAATAATTGATTCGTACTGCTCCTTGGGTAACGATTCTGTCGGTAATTAAAATTGTCCATAAATCGAAATTCAAGATCAAGAGCAGACTACATTACCGGCCAAATCTTTGGAATCACTGTGCAAGCTACACAAAAATTTCTAGAAAAATGTAAACAATTTTAAGAACTTTTTAACGAATTTTTTCAAAATGGGGTAAATGTCTATTGATCTCTACAACATCATTTCAATCTATAAAAAATTAGCAACAGATTGGTGTAAATTGACAAGTGATGCCAAATTTTTCGCCGGTAGTGTAAATTTTGGTTAAAAATGGCAGATGCTGTACTAATCCAGACAATCGCTCTACTCAAACTTTGCTAATAGTATTAAAAATGAGTACTGAATTAATTCTAAAAAATTACTCTCAATTAAAAATCAATACTAAAAAAGTTAAACTGACAATATTGTCGATACTCATCAAAAGCACCACCGATTGCAATTCCCATTTCCAAAAACCTACATTATACTTAATTCCATCCTACAGCCCTACCAATTCCCTTCATCGACACGAAGCTCTCCCAAAACAAGTACCAAAAACGGAGAAGAAAAAGAATTCTCGAAAGAAATTCCAGAGAGATCAAGATGCGAATAACTCCGCATCCACTTTCCATTTCCGTTCCACTTTCCTGCAAGAAGATCCTGCATCTTCCACTGATCACCGTGCATAACGTGCATTTCGTAACGAGCACAACAAAAAGCATCCACGATCGCCTCGTCGTCGTTTTGCATCGATCAAGAAAAGGAGTTGATCCCATCGCTACGTTCGTTCCCTTTGCTCCTCGCCTCTGTGTTCACCGGCAACGAGAGCCGGTTGGCGATCTTACTCCAACAACACCACGGTGGGCCATCGTCGTTCCGGAGAAAGTGATCGAGTACAGGCGATCCAGCCGGTTTCGTTCTCCAGGCTATTTACGCGTCTCTGCCGGCTCGAAGGCGAAGTTCACGGGAACGGCAAGGTTATGTAGCAAGGTTATACCTCGTGCTCCAGATAAACCAGGTAGAAGGGAAGCTGGGAGGAAAGGGAGAGCCGACGAGGAGGGTCCGTCTTGAACAGAGAGGATGTCACGGATCGATTTTCGAACGAAATTTCACGATGGTTTCTCTCGCGATACACCCTCAGGCTGGACCACTACCGCGTTTCCTTTCCACGTCCAGAGAGATGTCCGATCTATCGAAGAGATCAAACTTCGCCAGTTGTTCCGCGAGCGTTTGAATCCCGATCGATGAGATGTGAAATTTCACGTGTTACACGCGGGGAGAGAGAGATTGGGTTTTTGGAGACGAAGGGAATCGAGCGTGTTTGACTTTGATCGGCGGATAGATCGAATTTCGAATCGGTTCGAGGGAAAAGAAATTTCATTTGTTACACGCGGAAGGAGAGACGTTGGGTTTTTCGAGACGAAGGGAATTTGGCGTGTTCAGTTTTGATTTATCGGGAGGATCGGGCTTTGGATCGATCGAAGGGAAGAGAAATTTCACTTTCTGTGAGTGGAGGGGGAGGAGTTGGATTTTTGGAGACAAAGGGAGTTTAATTTTGATTTATCGAGAGTTCGAGCTTAGGATCGATCGAAGGGAAGAGAAATTTTCACGAGTGGAGGGGGAAAGTTGGATTTTGGAGACAAAGGGAATTTGATCGATTACAAAAGAAATTTCAGTTTCTACGAAAGAGAGAAGTTGAATTTTAGAAACAAATGCAATTAGGTGTATTTAATTCTGGTCCATCGAGAGATCGAACTTCTGTACCTTTTCACGATTGTTTCAATCAATCGATGAGAGAAGAAATTTCTCTTGCGACAAGTGAAAAGAGAGAGGTTAGATTTCAGAGAAAAGTAGAATTGGGCGTATTTAATTTCTGAAAATACTGAAAATACTCTAAAAACGTAAAATCCCTCTTCAAAATTTTCAGTACGAAAGCTGCACCTGTTGAGCATTTAATTTTCATTTAGTTTAGAAATTCTGCTTTTTCAAAGTGAATATTGATGTCCCGTGGAAAATCGCGGAACTAATTGCAGCTGCGAGGCACAATCATCGTCGTCGCGTAGTTTCGCTTTTACCACGTATGGAAATAAACTTCCTCGGTTCGCGTGATTTCTAACGCCGTCCTCTTTCATTAATTACGCATTCAGCTAGGACTGCCCAGCGTCGATTAACTTCCGAATGAAATTCGCTTGACCCTGTTTACACAATTTTATTGCTCGTTAAGTGATTCAACAGTCGCGCGACAAAACGGCATCGTACAGTAATCGCTTATGCAATCAAATGTTTGGTCTCAAGGTCGTCGTAGATGATCAAACTAGTGTAGAAAAGAAGAAGGGTATCTTCTCTTCCTTTCTTTAATCTTTCTTCTTCTTTTTTTTCAATAGAAAGAAGTTCAAAATATAAAAGTTTCAAGATTGATGTTTTTTTGTCCATGAGTTCGAAATGGAACACGCGCGGCGATTATAGCGACGTTGCGTCTTATTTGAAAAGCTCGTAATCACAGACTCCGGTGAAAGTGTATACACACTAAAGCGGGAAGAAACTTTATAACGCAAAAGCAACGACTCGTGCCGCCGCGAAGAGCTCTCATTGAAATTTTAACCACCGCCAATTACACGGAGAATACCCGCATCGATGCACCACTAATAAATTCCACGAAACGACGAATTTACGCTGGACGATAAAAATGGACATTCTGCTATTTTTCCTCTCTTGGTTCGACTAAGTTTCTTTTGCGTTGCAAGCGTTGGTACGAGTGTATCTGGCTTTTGCGAAAAAAGGGATTGGTAGCAGTGGAAACGTCAGAGAAGAGAAATTTAAGAAAATGAAATATTTAATTTAATACCGATTTATTTTAGAAAATGTTAATTTGAGGATTATTGTATTTTTAAAATTGTATCGTATTTTGCGATTAAAGATTATTAAATATTAACAACGAGGGGAATTCCCCAAGTGTCATTCTTAGATTTTAGTGAAATTTACTTACGATTTGGTTCTCGAAAAAATATTTGACACACGTTCTTCTTTATTTCTTATCTAATTTTTTTTAGAAGAGGTGAAAACGGCCCTTTATATTTGAAGTTTCAACGTCTATTCCATCCAATATACCTCGAAAATGATTAAAAATAAAACAAAGGTTCAGGTGCATATAAAAATTTTATATTTCTCAACGACGAATTCAGCTACCTAATTAATTTCCAGAAAAGCCCATTTGTTTAAATAATTCCAAGTCTCTGCCGTAGATAAATAAAATTGTCTAAGGAAATACACTTTGTCCGAGAAAAAAAAAAATGTCATTTGCTTCCTTGCAAAATTTCTTTTGTATTTTCGAATCTCGTTAAACCGTTCGTTCGCTGGATCGATAAATAACGTACCGTTTCATCAACAAGAAGAAACTATATTAAATTCGTAAACCGAACTGGAATCGACGACTGTAGCTAAATTCAAACGAGATACACCGGGATGAAAGCGAAACCGTCCAGTAATTCCGGTTCGTAAATCACTCGGCCGCGCACCGTTGCTCCAGATTTTCGAGTCCGGCCGAAGGTACAATCCGAACGGACGTTTCACCTTTCCTTCGTATCCGGGATATATTAGTTTCCTCTTGATACAAACGTTTTTCTCACCGCCAAACGGAAAAATATCCTCTCTTCTATCGTCGAAATTGAAAGTCACGATTCTTCGAATTCCACGTGTGAACGTTTCAACTTTCTTGCTTTTCATCTCTGTTTAATCGCTCGTCGTAAATTAGACGGTAAACTTAATGGGAAATATATAGTTATTGGTTTAAGTGTAACTCTATCTCTTCGAGATTCAGTCGCCATTTTTTTTTTTTTTAAGTATTTTACCTTAGGAGATAGTCGAAGGTAATTGCTATTCTTCGAGGATTTTTCAATGTTCACATGGAGTTATTCGTTTAAGTAGATACTCTGAGAGTTTTCGTTCGTTTAGTATAGATGTGAATTACGAGACAACGTGGAATGGATAATTGTTGGTTTCTGTAATGGAGGTCAGTTGGTTCGGTAAATAATTAGAGGGTTTCCATGAATTTTTAAAAATTCTATACCAAATGTAAGGGTTCTAGAAACTTTTGATATTTGATGATAATTAAAACTGTATTAAAATTAAAATAATTTTAAATGATAATTAATTTCGATTTATCCGCAGAAATGGCGCGTTTCCACCGAATATTCTGAATATTCAAAAAAATTGCCGCAATATAAATTTCTAACAATTTTATCACTTGTCCAAAGAATTCACCACGTTCAACATCATCCTCCATATTTTTCTGTCTCGCTTCGCGAGAGAGTCGGATACTTTCGATCGG